TCTCCTTCCCTCCCTCCCTCCTCAAATGGCTTCAGCTTCAGGTGTTTTAAATGACCTGCCCCCTCCCACTGCCCCGTCGGGTACGTTTGAACCACTTTGTACCTGCAGCCAGGAGGTTCCGGGTGTTGATGACGGTGGAGGCTGCCATCTGGGATGTGACCAACTTTGGGTCTGGTCCCTGATCTGTCACTTAATATCAGCATGACTGTGGCGTCCCTCTGCCCCCGCAGCCTCAGCGCCCTCTCATGCAGCCTGCCCGTGAGGCCGAGTGAGCGCATGGACTGCCCTTGGACACCGCCTGCTGTCGTCACTGCTGCTTCCTCATCTGGCGCCCAGGCCCTGCCTTATCCACATGCTGTGACTCGTCTTCTGAGCTAGATGCAAATACAAACTAAGAATTCATCAGTTAATGCCTTGCATTTTATATGCTTTTAGCATTTATAAACCTCATACTATTAATCTTATCTTACAAAAGCCCTGTGGAGATAGAAATCAAGAATTTTCCCCTCATTTTGCTGGTGAGGAAATTGAGGCAAAATAATATATATATATAAATATATATATTGAGTGACTCTCCCGAGGGCACGAAGCCTTGTGGCAGGGTTGATGAAAGAGTCAGACTCAGCCTGGGCCTCGGATCCCCAGGTTGGGCCCCTGTGACCCCAGAGAGTTCCCCGCCTCCCTTTAGATGTCTGAGACCTGAGAGGGTGTCACTGTAGTAGAACACCGTCCTTGTCAAGTGTCCCCCTTCCTGTCGTGAGAGTCTCTGTTCACCTGTTGCTCTGAGAGCAGCCTTTCCTGTCATCAGTCCAGACGGCGTCACTGTCACTCTGCCCCACGTTTGCTTCCTGCACTAGTCCTCACCCTCTGAAAATACTTTGCGTCTGAGTTTGCTTTGTTCACAGGACTATAGGTGTCCTGAGAGAGGGCACCTCCCTGCCTTGGGTTCCCTTACTGTCCCAGCCCCCAGGACACAGCCTGGCCCCCAAGTTGACCAGCGGGAAGGGAGGGCGGGTGCCTTCCTTCTGCTGCAGAATTGGGAGGGGGGGTGAGTCCCATTGCCCAGCCCACCCAGTGCTCCCTTCAGTACTCATGACAATAACATGATTTGCTGAGCCCTTCTCTGGGCCTGGCTTGCCCCTGCCTGGCTGTGTCCTGGGTGCCAGGGCAAGTGGGTCCCCGGGTCAGGGGGCTGGGGAGTCGCAGGATCAGAAGTGGGGCCTCTCTCCTCTTCTTGTCTTAGGAGGTTCTCTGAGAAACCCAGTCTTCAAAACTGATCTCTGTCTCTAGTCTGTGTTTGGGCTTGTGGTAATACGGGTGCTTTGTGACTTTGATAATTTAAAGTACCTACCCACGGAAATCGTTACTTCTGCTCTGTCCCCAGAAAGTGCCACATTGTATCCATAGGCCTGGCTCCCTGTCAGGCGTTTCATCATGAGCCTTCAGTAGGTGCACAGGCCCAGTTATAAGGTGTGGCCCTGTAGGACCAGAGCCACAACTGCTGCCCCTGCGTGAGAGGCTGTGCCAACATGCACGTGTGTACGTGCATGTGTGTGCTTGTGCATACATGTTTGTGTGCATATGGCAGGGACGGGGCTCGCTGACCGGTGATGGACTTTTGGTGAGGTGCACGGGGCTGGGAGGGGCTTTCTGAGAGTCCTGTGGGACTGCGGTCCTGCCACCTGGGTACCTGTGATGGGGTTATTCTCTCCCACCAGAGCCAGCGCCGACTTGGAGGCCAGAGTAGGTGGTTGTGGAGGAATGTGGCTAAGACGGGGGTGGATGAGAAGGCACCGTCCCACAACAGAGAGGAGAGAGGCTTGCCCTGACCTTTGGGGAAGATGACAGTAACAACAGGATGAGAAACCCGTGATCTGACATTCACCAGGGGTCCTTGGCTTTCCTTGGGTTGCCTTTTTAAACACCGAAAGGGTGAGCTTACAGACCTGCACGAACTTAGGGTGCCCCTGAGGCCCTCCACTGGGCCCTGGCCCCTAACCCCGCCACCACCCTTGCATCCCCCCGCCCAAGGCTGCAGAGCACTTTGAGCACCACTTCCACCGCTGCTCTCCCAGGCAGGCCTCCTCCACATCTAGCAGTGTCGATGTTGATTTCGGCAGTGTGGGTGGAGCTTTCCCATAGACCCGGAGGTGGTGGGAGGCCACGCTGAGGGGCAGCTCTCTCCTTCTAGGCCCAGGCCTGACATGGTCACTGAAGGAAAGCGGCCCCACTTTCCCACATCTCCCCCACAGGACCCAAGACTCTAGAAGAGACCCCCCTACTTGGTTCTGTAGTGGGAGATACTTCTTTCCTCCAGACATGGATGACAGAGGTGGGGCTGGGTGAGGGCTCTGGGGCTTCAGATGTGTGAAGTCTCTGCCAGTCAGCTGTGGGAGCCACCGGAGTGTCCATCTGTGGGGGAGGGCCCAGCGGCATCAGTGGCTTCTGCAAACAGGGCTGGGGGCACTTGGAGGCTGGGAGGTGGGGCCTTGGGCTTGGTTTCCTGAGGGTCTGGTAGAGGCTTCCACGAGTGTTGTCAAAGATCACTGGAGGAAGCCAGCTGAGCGTGCAGGAGGAGCGGATGTATCCTCTAGGGGCTGCTGGGGGAGGCTGTCAGGGTCAGTGGGGAGAAAGGGAGGGGGCCCCCAGTGCAGTGGTGCCATGATGGGAGGGGCACCCCTAGAGCTGAGCCACCAGGAAGGGAGCTGACCTGGGCATTCCTAGGTTGGGACCTGCCAGGGCCCATTATTGCTAATATTGGGTCTCTTTTAAACTTCAGAATACTTCACCTTGTTCTCAAGCACTTTGTGAAATTGTGTGACTTGTTATAAAGTGCCGGTGTGAAGGAGACTAGTGGCTTTTCTGTGTCTGTGGTTTCCCCATGTGTAGGTGATGTGTGAGTCCGGGACGGATCTTCGGGCTGACAGTTTTAGACTGCTGGACACACACTGTGACCAGTTTTGGAGGTTTAACTTAAAGTTCACAGAGCTGAGGTTTGTTCAAGTGAACACATAACACACAGGATCCCTCCCAGCCTCTCAGCTCCGTGTGTCATTCTCTCCTGTGGTTTAAGGAGAACTCAAGTTCAGGAGAGTAGTTTAGGAAACTTGCCCTGAGTCCACTATCGGCCTACTGGCAGGGAAGCTGCACATTCACTTCTCAGGGTGACAGCTGCTCACCACGGCCACTCACTGAGCCCACAATGCCTGAGCAGCCTGGGGTGGGGACGCGAGCAGGAGCTGGACCCCGTCTCTGGGGGTCTGCTGTGGTTGTGATGACAGAGGCCAGTAAGACTTTCCCTACTCCCTACACTCACGTACCTCCCGAGGGGAACATGGGTCTTGAGGCTCAGTGACTTCTGCGTCCATCCTGAGAGCAGTAGAAGGCTCCAAGAGGTTTAGAGCAGGAGAGAAAAAATGATCAGGTTTCTGGTCCAGAAGGACCCTCCCGTGGCCACGTGGAGAATAGTCTGTGGGTAGTAGATCCATGTCTTCGTCTGGGCTGCTGTAAGGAAGCACCACAGGCTGGGTGGCTTATAAACAACAGACATTTCTTTCTCACAGTTCTGGAGGCTGGAAGTCTGAGATTAGGCTGCCAGCCAGCATGGTCGTGTTCTGGTGAGGGCCTGGGCCCTCTTCCGAGTTGCAGATGGTCTCTCTGTGTTCTCAACACAGCAGAAAGAGGGCAAGGTTGCTCTCTGGGGTCCCTTTTCTAAGGCACTAATCCCATTCCTGAGGGCTCCACCCTCATGACCTAATCACCTCCCAAAAGACCCACCTGCTTATACCATCACATTGGCAGTAGGATTTCAACATATGAATTTGGGGACACACAAATTCAGTCCATTGCAGTTCACAGGGTCTGGTTGAAGGCTGTTGTCTTCCAGGGTGAAATGGGGAAGGGGAGCCTGAGAGCCAGGACCAAGGTCCCCGAGAAAGAGGGGGTCTGGCTGGGAGGTCAGCAGTGTGGGGGAAGAAGACAGTGAACTGAAGAAGAAAGTGGTGAGGGCCTGAGGGGAAGGCTGGTGGTGGCCTAAAGATTGACAGACTGTGGACCTGGGGCCAAATCCTCCCGGCCACCCAATTGTGTGTATGAAGTTTTACCAGAGTGCAGCCATGCCCGCTCATTTACATATTGTCCGTGCCTGCTTTTGTGCTACCAATGCAGAGGTGACTGCTGGCACAGAGACCACACAGCCTAAGATATTTTCCATCCAACCCCTTACAGAAAAGGTTTGCTGGCTTCTACCTAGAGCTGCCCGTTCTGTACAGGAGCCAGTAGCCACATGTGGCTATTTGTAATAAATTAATTACATAAAATTTTAAAATTCTGTTCTTCAGTTGCACTAGCCATAGTTCAAGTGCTCAAAAGCCACTGTGGCTAGTGGTTCCATATTAGACAGTGCAGAGATAGAACATTCCAAACCGTGGCAGAGAGTTCTGTTGGCATCACTGGTCTAGAGGCAGCAGGTGGAACAACGACCACATTACCCAGCATGGACCCGAAGTGTGTTGGATGGGAGGAGCCAAACAGGCAGGCAGGAGCCCTGCGCCGCAGAAGCAGAGGAGAATGCCCGAGAAGAATTGGAGGCTAAGTGGGCAGTTTCCCATTGTTGTCCTGAGTTCCAGAGGGCTCCGGGGTGCGGCCATGCATGGTGCGTGGTGGTGCAGCCGTGTTTGGGAAAGGGCATCTTCTGGAATTGCAGCACCTTGGAGAGGCGGGGGGACCTTAAGTGACAGCTGCCTGGGATCCCGGAGTTGTCCTCCTGACACTGTTTCTACAGAGTTTTCTGGTCTGGCTGTTGATTTTGTGCAGTTACTTCCATGGTGCACTGTGGAGTAATGAGGGAAGTAGGCCAACCTCACCCCGCTGGCTGCAGACAGGTGGGCGATGGTTCAGCCCCTCTCCTTGGTCCCCGTCCTCCTTGCCATGTTCCTTGTGCTGGGAGAGGCATGCAGGCCCTTTGTCCTCTAGGAAGACTCTAACTGTGCCCCCTTCAGTTCCAGGGCCCTGTGAACCAGAAGACCTCATCGATGGGATCATCTTTGCTGCCAACTACCTGGGGTCCACCCAGCTGCTCTCAGAACGGAACCCTTCCAAAAACATCAGAATGATGCAGGCGCAGGAGGCCGTCAGCCGGGTCAAGGTAGGTGGGCTGAGGAGCACCCCGTTCACTTGGGGGAGCATTGGAGTACGGCAGGGGACACGGCACTCGCGGTCTGTGTCCAGCTCTGACCCCACAGCCCTCAGCGTGGAGGGTGGGAGTGCCTGAGGCATCCGGCAAGGCGGAGGGAGACTTTGGCCGTGGATGGGAGAGTGCTGGGCTCAGCACAGAAGCAGCCAGCTCCTTAATGAGGAACCGCCACTGGGCCACCCAGAAACACGACTTTGTAAAGAGGATGGTTCCGAAGCATGCCAGTCGTGAAACGTTTGCATGAAACCCTAAATCCCAGTTCAACAGTATGTGTGTCTTTAGCGCTGTTCAGAGTGCTTGCAGAAGGGGAGAAAAAGAAATCATATGTTTTATTTAAATTCATGACCTCAAGAAAAACACTGGCGTACTTGCAGCTCTAGGTGCACGTTGGATCGCCTGGTTTTGAACAATGGGTGCAGCCAGGCTGGAGCATGAGGCTAAGTCAGCAAAGCTAATGGGGTCAGGAGGGAGGGGTGCCCCTCTGGGCAATACAGGCTCTGCAGGTCCTGCCAGCCTTTGCGGGGTGAGAAACGATGTGAGCCCCCTTCCTTGTCCTCAACTGTACACGGACCCCATTTGACAAAGGGAGAGGGACGCTGGGCAGGAGCCCACCATGGTAGTCAGGAGAAGGGAAGCAACTAAGACCAGCACGCAGCCCTGCCTGCCGGTACTGCTTAGTGAAGGCCCCTGGCTCTCCCGCCCCAGACCCCAGGCCTGCTCCTCTGCCCTAGAGCCTGGCGCTCTTTTGCCGGCTGATTGCATCTCGCTCGTCCTCAGTGATGCCCCCATAGACCTGGGTGGTTGTCACTAATTTCCAGTGCTCCAGGGACGTATGTGGGCTTCTCTTGATCAGCGTGTGTGCTCGCTGAGGTGGTGGCCGCCCGCCTGTCCCCTGGGCACGAGGTCTGAGTCCGGGGGTGTCGACCACGAGATTGAAATAACTGCGCCGCACCTTCCTTCTCTTTGCACCCATCTGTTTTTCTTTTCTCTTACATGCTGCTCAGAGGATGCAAAAGGCTGCTAAAATCAAGAAAAAAGCGGTGTGTAGGGCTGTGGGTTTGCTTGTATTTCTGTGGCTCATCCTGTGTGGTGCGGGGGGGCGAGGGGGTTCCGTTAGGAACACAAATAATGTGGCAAATGGTTTTTTCTCTTGGTAGGTAAATACTAGACTTTTGAATGAAAGCACAGACACTTTTTTTTTTTAACTACTACCCACTTACAGAAGAATTCAATCTCTGCCCTTTTTTATCTTTCTTTTTGGCGTTTCTGTGTGCTAGGGCCTGATTAATGCCGTGATGTTACTCGTTCACGTAGATGTTTTTAAATGTGGCATTTGATATGACCATGTGATGCATTTAGTGCCTAGGCCTCCTGTACAGAATTAATTAAATTGTTCTGATATTTAAAGACTCATTAAGTTTAATCTACTAAATCTGGTTGATGAGAAGTTCATTTTGCCTAGGAGATGCTTTCTCTGTTGAAAAGAGTTTCTGGAGCTTGGGAAGACTTTTAAAAATCGGATTGACCTTCAGTCATTTGTTTGTAAACCTGGTCATTTAGTAAATACTGGGATTTTTTAACTGTCTTCCCGATACAGGAAATATCAAATGCTCAGTGTCAGAGAGCACCAGCTTGGCCTTGGCTTGTTGCTTAAACAGCAAGAGATTTGTCTCCATCCCTGCCTGGAACACCATTATGTGGTGTTGTGGCCCGAGGACCTGTCTGGGGGCTCCCTTCCCTTACAGTGAAACTTCTCTCGCTGGGACCTTTGCCCTTTGCTGAGTGGCATCTCCTTTGGTTCCTTTGGCTTCAGGAGAGGAAGGAACTTATACATGTCTGTTTGCCCAAGCCACCTTTCCGCTGGGTGTCTCCAGGCAAAGCAGAATGGGCCTAGCTTTGCAGACCTGCAGTTGGGGTGTCCTTCCCCCAAAGAAGAGGGGCCTGTCGCCCGCAGCCACCCAGTGCACCCCTGGGCTGCCCACACACAGCAGCTAGAGCAGGGCAGTCATTACTCTTCGAGTCTGCAGTCCAGAGAGCCTGAAGGGGTCGGGCGCAGGCAGACCCAGCTCAGAACTGCCTCAGCGGCCTGCCAAAGCCAGCTGATTACATCCATGAAGGGTTATCGTTCTTTTTGGGCAGAGAGATGCTCAGGATCATTGCTGACGACCCCTTTTCTGGTCTGCCCACAGCTGGTGAGGAAAATGATGATGGGAGGGTGCTCCATGAGCCTGGGCCCAGGAGTGAGTGGCGTCCCCAGCAGACAGCCACCCCCACCCAGAGAATCACCAATGACTACAGGGTCAGGGCCCCCCATCCACAGATGTGCCCACTCTATTGTCAGGGGTCCCTCTGTAGGGTCCATGCTAGTGACGACCCCCTTCCTTCCAGCAGGAAGCATGATGGGGTGAGCTTTCCCATTTCTCTTTATTTTATTGATCAGGTTTTGCCTCATCCGTTTACCCCCCAGCTTGAGCCCAGTCGGCTCCGCATATGCCCTTCTTCTCCATCAAGTGTGTCACGGTGCTCAAATTCCTTCCAAAATTGTCACTAAAACCAAGGACCACCTGCAACTTTTCTGTTTTACTTCTGGCCCAACCTACTTTTTAGCAAGAGGCTTTTGAGCAACAGTCCTAGAATATAACCTTTAAAAGCACGTGAATGTAGAATATAACCTGATGTTTAAAAACAGAGAAAAAGTAGTTCCTCCACAGTTCTGCAGACTATTTTCAATTGCATTATTTTGGATTCTCTTTTCTTTATAATCAATTAAAAACAGTGTCACCCTGGTCCAAAAGCCCTTTTCCCTTGAAAACTGGGTGAAAATACAAATTTATCATTATAATACAGGACCACTTTGCAAATCAGAATTCTTGAGGAATTGTCAGCAGGGAGATTTTTGATTTCGGATTTTCTTGTGAGGAATTAAATCCCAGTTTCTGCTCTTTTGAAGTGGAAGATAAACCACCGTGGGCTCCTGAGTGATCACCAAGAATTGTTTACCTCAGTGGGCAAACAAAAGAACTTGTATTTCATTGCCACTGTAGTGTAGTAGTAATTAGGATTCCCACAGATGTAAAAACTGATGAAACACTGTCCTCGTTTGGGGCAGACCCTGAGTAGTTCACTCGGCTTCTAGAACATTCCAGGTACACATAACTAATGGCCATATGCTGAACATACTCCAGGAGATGACAAAACAAGGGTATTGATAATGCCTTCTTCCAGCTTCTCCTATGGCACTATCAGGGCAGCGCTCAGTGCCGTGGGGGTCTTGCTTTCCCTTAGGGTTTTTGGGAGACTGGGACCAAGGCTGCTGGGGTAGTGACATGATTGTGACTTCTTAAATCAGGAGAAAATGCTGACATTCTAATCCAATTTATTTGAAAATGTCTTCCCCCTTTCCTGGGGATACTTGGAATCCCAAATCCAAGAAATGTAGCCCAAGTCCACAGACCTGTGCCTTTGCCGAATTTGATAAGGGTTGGCAGGCAGGCCCGCTTTGTCGGGAGCAGAGGGGCTGCAGTTTGGATGCTGTGACACAAGACCCCAGGCATCCGGCCCCCCTCTGTGCTCAGACTTCCAGAAATGTCTCCTCCCTCCTGCTCTATTCCCTGTGCAAACTGCCTTTAGAACTCATTTAGCTACAGATTCGCTCAAAGGCGGCATGCATTTAGATTTCCAATGGCTGCTCCATGCAGGAGCATTTAGGGAGTAGCATTCCCCTCTAGGGACGCTCAGGGTTATTAGCCAAATTGTCAGGCCTTTGTTCAAGTTTGTCTTTTTTTATTTATAACAGTATCCACTGTCCTTTCTTAGAATTCTGAGGGGGACGCCCAGACTCTGACCGAAGTGGATCTCTTCATCTCCACTCAGAGGATCAAGGTGTTAAATGCGGACACACAGGTAAGCATTTAAAGATGGTTATTTAAAATCATGTAACGAACTCCTCCCTTCCCACAGCAAGGGTCCTCGAGAACAAGGTCTGGCTGTAGAACTTTCCGTCTAGGATGGGGTGAAATGGTTGTCCCCGAGGACGGTTACTCTGGACCCTGGGTCTTGAGTGGGTTGTGGTTGTGGAATCCAGAGTGGGCTGTGGGGGCCGAGGAGCATCAGGCCGGGAAGGATCAGAGCTGGTGAGACCGTGTGCTGCTGCAGCTGGGATTAAATAGAGACAAAGTGAGGGGCAAGGAAGGGGAGGCGCAAGTTTATGTGCTCACCAGTCAGGATTCTAGAATAGCCTTCCTGAAACCTCCATATGCTGGGCCTGGGAACTCCAGCTGGAGGGCGGAAATCTCGTGGTGGCCCTTGGCGTGGTGGCACTCCAGCGGGGAGGTGTCTTAAGATTCTCTACCTGTAAACCATGTGCTGTGGCCAGCTCGTGGCTGACCGGGATTCTGCTCGTCTTTTCTGTGCCTGAATCACTGCATGAGGCTGCTGTTGGTGGGGGAGACAGGAAACAGCTGCCTGAGGAGAAAGGACCCGAATGAGATATAAAGGACTGTGAGCTGAGACGGAGAGAGGGCGGAGGCCGGGGGCAGGGGTTAGATGGAGGGGCTGGGGGAGGCCCCGGCAGTGCTCTCTGCCTGCGCTTTGCTGTGTGAGAGGAAGCAGCCATGGAAAGAGAGGGGGAAGGGCCCCCCTCACCCTGGGGACTGAGCTCATTACTGGGCCCAGATGCCAGTAACGGTCCCTGGCTTCGTTGCCTTTGGCAAGTAATCTGTGCGGTGACACTCTGGATGTGCAGGTTCCCTATTCCCCAGCACCCTGTCACCTGATGGTGTTGGCAGCCAGTGACCATCTTGCCTGAGTTGGTTACAACGTTGGAAATGCAGAATGGTGATTTTCTAATTATGTCACGCTTTCTACTTTTATTAGCTGGTGTTCTTCTGTGAAGAGAGCTTTTGTTTCTTTCCACCTCTGTCTCTGTCTTTTCACCATGGACTCACGGATTCTTTTTTTTTTTTTTTAACTTGTGTTATAGTCTATTGCCATCGTTATTTTTTTTGGTGTTCCAATTATCCTAGATTTGGCCAGGGACCTTCAAACTGGGTCCTGTGTGGTTTTGACATCTTCCCTTCAGCCTTGAGGGCGTCCTTACTGTCTGAGACAGTAAGATGTTCTGAGCTCCCCTTGTACGTCCCCCACCCCAGACCTTGACTCAGCCGTTTCTTTAAGGAGCGTGGTTCCTTTTAGTGGGGAATGACGTACAGAAAGGAAGATCTGGGTGCTGGCTATGGTCATTGTTGCTAGGGTGTCATCGCTCCTGGGCCCGTGCAATGACCAGAGCTAGACAGTATGTTTTTAAAAGCCATGAGTTCATACTTGTACCTCCTATTCGAGACCAGCACCATAGGGTCCTCCTCAGCTGTCCCCATTTCCAGACTTACCCTTGTCCCATAGTGTCCATCCTGCTCCCAGCACTGTCAGTATGTTTTCTCATTTGCTCTCTCCTCGGATGTAGACAGTGCCCATATTGCTGGGCTGCTGGGAGGAACAAAGGAGAGCTCTCAGGTAGCAGATGCACTGGGGTCAGGACCCCTCAGGGCTCAATGGGCGGGAAGACCTGACGTTTGGGGACAGAGGAGGCAGTAGGGTGTGTCTTGGACCTGGGGTAGTACCATTATGTGGCTTCTGCTGTGGGCCACTCCCGACCCCAGCGCTCTGCTGCCTGCCCCCCATCCAGGCCCTCAGCACATCCCACCGTGGGCCCTGCAGTTCCCCTTCCTCCTCATCGGTCTGTCCCCATGTCCAGGCCTGGGCCTTGTCCCACTCATCTTTGTGTCCTGCAGCCCCACCCCCCTTGGAGCCTCGCACTTGGTTCTCACCTGGTGAGAACTCAGGGAATCACCTTTGACCTCTGATGACCCCTCTAGTGTAGACACTTCACAGACTTGTACTTTGTTTCGTGATCTTTTGTGGGCAAACTGGACGGGATCCCCCCTTCCTCCCCTCTAGCTACCATCCATCATCTGCCCACATGTCAGGGTCCCCAAGACCACCCCAGGTTCGATGATTCACTAGGAGGCCTCACAGGAGCCAGCGTATCATCGTCCTCAGGGTTGTGATTAATTATGGCGAAAGGATACAGAGCAAAATCAGCAAAGGAAGGCCTCCAGTGGAGTCACACAGGACACGCAGAATCCCCCAGCAGCCAGTTGTGACAGCACACGTGAAATGTGGCTCATCAGGGAAGCTCACGGAGAAGCAGCGCCCAGGGTTTTTATTGGGGGTTGGCACGCAGGCACCCTCTGCCTGCCGGGCACCAAAGTTCCTGACTCCTGGAAAGCAGACAGGTGTTCAGCCTGGAGTACACTGTTTGCACAAACAGCTTAGGCACAGTGAGCCACTCTCATCAGGTAGGATGGCAGGAATCCCCCCGAGATCCAGGTTCCCAGACCCCAGCCGAGGGCCACCCTTGCAGGCAGACCTTCTGAGGACGGCCCCAGGCCTGCTGCTTCTGCTCGTCTCCGCACAGCTGCCCTCTTTCTGTTGCTCCTGAGAGGGCGCTGCAACCCAGGGGCAGGAGTGTGGGCTTGGGGATGGAAACTGGGCTCCATCCCTCTGAACTTGTGGCCTTAGACAAGTTCCTGTACATCTCTGAGCCCCATTTACTCTTTCAGATGGGGCTGAGGAGAGCTCCCCTGCCGGACCCCGTGAAGGGGAAATGAGAAAGCCCAGAGCAGGGCCCACACCTGCCGGCAAGGTTTCCCTCATGTAAACCACCTGGAACCCTCGGGGCTGGCCTTGGGAGAGGGAGGGTCAAGCAGGGATGAGAGGGTGGGATGGCGAAAGGTGAACTAACCAAGCACTGGCCCCGGTGGGCCTTGGATACCATGGGAGTCTCTGTGGGCCAGGGCAGGAGTGAAGAGAACAAGTGCTGGGAAGTTGGGTCAGGAAGGTGCTATAAGCTGGGGTCTGGCCACCCAGCTGACGTGTTTGGGGTGACTTGTCTGGTCGTGGGCAGCCATCAATAGTTTGCAAGCTTGCTCTAGGTACTGTTTAGGGTAAACTGAAAGAGAGAGTTGCAGCAGGAAATTGGTTTGACTGAAAAATAAAAAATGTTGGCAGAGGGGCTAAAGAGATGGGAACAGATGAGAGAGACTGTGGAGGCTGAAGTGGCCAGTGGGGACAGGAGAGAGGATGGCAGGCATGTTGGTGGGCAGCCATGTTGGTGGGCAGCCTCTGTCTGTGAGGAGGATGGCTCTGCTGTGGATATGAGCCAGAACTGGAGGAGAAGCACATTTTTGACACCTGGGGAATGATTTGGGTGTTTCTAACAGTGGCCAGAAATCAGGAGATGCTGAAGAGCCACTCCCAATTGTTCCCTTTCCAGTGTCCCTTCCTGAAAGGTGACTCTCATGGTAGTTAACCACCCCTATAACCTTGGCCAGAAAACAAATCAGCTCCAGGAAGATAAATGTGGAGCAGTATCCACTGCAAAAATGGATTCTGTGAGGAAGAAAAGTGCTTCAGAGGTTACAAAACACCCAATTTTCTTTTGTGGAAAAAGGACAAAGGCATAAAAGACCAAGTGATTAGTTTCTCAGAGCCTTTGTGCACAGCCTTGTTAGGTAGGGGTCATGGGCAGGATGCTCAGTGGAGATTCCTGTCAGACAACAAAAGCCGACAAGAGTAATGGGCCTGCCAGGGGCCGAGGGAATTGAATGGCCATGGAGACCCATCGATTGGAGTCGGGCGGGTTGCCTCAGTGTTCCCTGACCCAGGCCTGGCCTGGTTGGGCTCCCTGAGAAGAACTAATCCGGGGGAAATGTTGGTCTTGAAGCCATCCTCCTCTGCTCATCAGGAAGTCTGGGCCAGGCACACACCTTGCAGGGAGGGGACCCTTCTCCAGAGCCACGATGGCCTCTGATCAGGGGGAGACGGGCTTCACCATGTGCCAGGCTCCCTGCTCCTCCTCCTGCAGGGACTGAAAGCCCCTCCCCAGCGTCACGCCTCCACCCAGTGTCTTTTTGGAAGCTGTGGGGCTAAGGTGAAGGCAGATTCCCCTTGACCGTGAATCGCCACCCTAAAATGCTCTGTTCACTAGAGCAGTGATTCTCAACCACAGGCGATTTTGTCCCCCAGGGAACATATGGCAATGGCTGGAAATATTTTTGGTTGTCACGACTTGGGAAGAGAGAGGTGCTACTGGCATCTAGTGAGTGGAGGCCAGGGGTGCTGCTAAACATCCTATAGTACATAGGATAGCCATTCACAATAAAGAATGTTCTGACCCCAAACGTCAGGCTGAGAAACTCCAAACTCGAGTCTTTTTTAGTGGCTCGTTCCCTGTAATGCTCCCTAACATGGACCTCCTCGTCGCTCTCCTGACAGGAAACCATGATGGACCACGCCTTGCGCACCATCTCCTACATTGCGGACATTGGGAACATCGTGGTGCTGATGGCCAGGCGCCGCATGCCCCGGTCGGCCTCTCAAGACTGCATCGAGACCACCCCCGGGGCCCAGGAGGGGAAGAAGCAGTATAAGATGATCTGCCACGTGTTCGAGTCCGAGGACGTGAGTAACTCGCAGACATGCCATGCCTCCTGATGGCCCCAGGTGCCATCATTGATGTTTCCGTGGAATCGGTGATTTTTCTGACACTCTCTGAGTTTGCAGAGATAGTGAACCCAGTTTTATTTCACTATATGAAATAAGTTCTTCAAGAGCTCTTTATAAACTGAACTGTGGTTAAATATACGAGGAGAGCTGTGTATTTGAAGAACTCCTTTAACAAAATCTTTTTTCTCCTAAGATAAAATAGTCCTTGACTAACCTTTCTGTTGTTAAAATGCACATTTCAATGTCAGGGTTGCATCCAGGGAGGCACAGCTCGCCTGAAGTTTGGCTTGTGTTTGCTCATGGCCATTTCACGTCATCACAAGTTGAAAAATAATTCTGAAAAAAATCCTGCAGGCTCGCTAAGAGACCGTAACCCCTTTGACTCCTTCCTTCAATGGGAGGAGCATCTTTCTGATCCTGGAATTGGGAAGAAGGGACCGAGAAGGGAGCAGTAGGGCCAAGAGGTTGGTGAGAGAGAGGCTGGGCCCAGGTCTCTCTGCTGCCCCCTGCAGGCAGATCTTACTCAGGGCAACTGGCAAAGCCGCTGCTGACCCATTCTTGTGGCTGTTGTCCAAGTAGAATTTTTAAAAATTATCTCTTCTCCATGGACACTGGGAAAGGGCATTCTTATTCACATATGGCCTTGCGGGTGTCTCAGGGACCTGGAGCAGTGGGGAATGGTCCCAGTATTTTCATATTTGAAGGCAGGCTCTCTAGTTGATGAAGTCAACCAGAAGTGCTCTGAAGCAATGGCATGTTTATTAGAGAGGAAATTTAAATACAGACCAACTAGTGCATATACCGTCTGTCAGTTGTCACACTGTGGCGGTTGTGTGTTGCTGTCATGCTGAAAACTATGCCACCGCTATTTCAAATACCAGCGGGGTCACCCATGGTGGACAGGTTTCAGCGGAGCTTCCAGGCTAGAGAGACTAGGAAGAAGGACCTGGCCACCCATTTCTGAAAAAATTGGCCATGAAAACCCTGTGAATAGCAGTGGAGCATTGTCTGATGTAGCGCCGGAAGGTGAGTGGGTGGCACAAAGTGGGCAGCGTTCCGCTCTGCTGGACACAGGGTGGCTAGGAGTGAGAATTGACTCGACAGCACTGACAACAAAAGTGCACACACACATTCTTTTCACAGATATCCATGGACTCCTGGATGGGCATTTTTGTGTGGCTTGAGGGTGTCTTAGAGACCTGGCATGAGGGGATGGGCTGTGAGTGATGGGCCGGGTGAGGCAAGAAGCGGGCCAGCTGGCACAGGGTGAACAGTCTGCTGGTGCAGAAGTCACAAAGGAACAGGGAGAGGACGAGTCTCCGAGGTGCCAGCCTTGCAGATGGTTGTGGGCAGAGTCTTCAGGGCAGGGGTGCTGCTGTGGCCTCGGAGTTCTCAATTCAGTGGGAGATAAGGCTGTGAGCAAAGTTTGGGGGTGGTCACTGGGGCTCCTAGTGGTCCTTGAAGGAGTGAAGGAAGGACCCACCCAGTAGGGTGTGAAGGGACACTGAGCAGCTGCCCAGAGAGCAGGACCCGGATGTGGCTCCATCCAGATAGGCTGCTGGGGTAAGGATCCGAGGGTCTGGTGAGAGCAGAGTGCAACACCTGGAGAAAATGGAAGGCGGCATTAAGGAGCCCGTGGCCTTCTCTGAGTCTCGGTTTTCCCTCTGTAAAGTGGACGCATTCCACTCTGGCTGAGGCCAGGGTGGATGAGCCGCAGAGGTGAAAGTGTTGGGGCAAAGCAGTGCTGGGGGCATGGCGGTGCCTCCCTCCACTTCTTCGCCCACCTGCAGGAGGCTGCCTGTGAGTGCCAGCTGCCAGTGCTATCCCCTCACTGAGGGCCCCGTGCATACTCCCCACTGCTCTGCCTAGGGGGGGCTCCTGGCCTCACAGCAGTGAACACCCACAGGCCCTGGCTGTGAGCTGGGGGGCAGGGGAGTCCTTTGTCTGCAGGGCTCCAAGGGTGTACCCCCCAGCCCTGGGAGGGTCCTCAGGAGCCTGCCCCCAGCCCAGGCAGGAGGGATGCCAGAAGGCAGCGTGGGAGGGGAAGTGGGAGCCTGCAGCATGTGGGGAGACACCAGGGGCTCCCGGATTGCACCCCAAGGAGCACGGGCATGGATGACCTCACCATCCCCAGGAGCTCCCACGGGGTGGGGGGTCCTGACAGAACCCAAGGTGAAGTCCAAGGGCCGAGGGCAGCCCCACCAGGCTATCGGCCTAGGGGTGAAGGGCATGATGCTCTCAGACCACCTTTCCCAGCTAGGGGACCTCAGTCAGGTGTCCATGGACCCAGAGGGCATCCTGGTGACCCTAAGACCCAAGTAGGGCAGGGCAGGTCCTGGCTTCCCAGTCACCCCCCTATCCTGCCCTCCACCCTCAGGCCAGCCTTTTCCTGAGGCCTGGCTGCCAGCTTGGGCCAGCGCTCTGGGGACTGCCACTGCTGGGCTCCCCACCGCAGAGGGGCTCCTCTTGTGGCATCACCTCTGGTCCATGGGCGCCACCTGGCGGTCCCTGGGCGCTGTGCTTCTGGCTGGGTCTGCCTGCTGCGAGCAGCACCCCAAAATGCTGGTCTTGGGAGCGGGCAGGGCTTGTTCCTGCCGAGTGAACATCGGCTTCTCCATCCTGGAAACTGTTCAGGGCTCAGTTGGAGAGGGCAGTTCTATCTCGACTTAGTACCTATTTAAGGAAAGCCCGCTGTTCTCTGCCTCTGTTATCTCGCCCAGCCCACCTTTTTTACATAGGTGTATTCATTTGCCGCACTTAAATCGTGCAATGTGTAGAGCAAGAAAGGGATTGAGGCATTTAGGCCCGATTCCTCATTTTCACCTGTTTTCGGGTCTTGTTGACCTGAGGTTTCCTGGGGGCGCCCATGCAGAGTCCCCCTTGATGGCAGTTAGAGAGGTGGGTGGCAGCAGGGGTAGACCAGAGGTGGGGCTCCCGCAGCCCAGGGCTCCGGGAGGAGGCCCTGCTGTGGGCTGAGACATCACCGCGAGTCCCATTGCTCTCCAAGGGCTCTCTGCACAGCTGTGAGCACAGCTGACGTGTTCCAGGAGCTCAGGGCTTTAGTGCTTGCCTCCCGCCATCCCCTGTCTGCACACCGCAGGCGGCAGGCAAGGCCCACTAGTGACTTTTCAGTGTCCAGGCCTCTGCAGTGTCAGAAATTCAGTGACGTCCACAGAAGTGGTTCCGTTGAAGTAGAAAGAAGTAATTTGCTCCCTGGGGTCTGCGCTGGTGTCCCCAGGTCTCAAGCTTCTCATTGGCCTCAGCCTGGACCATCACAGCTCCCCACAAGAGCAGCTGGGCACCTGTCTCCCCACTTGACACTGGGCTCTGCTGAGGAGAACTGAATATTGGGTAGACAAATACCAGCCTCTGTGACACTCCCCAGAGGACACACCTCAAGTCTATTTTTGGAATAAGATAAGTGGAAAGAAAATACAGTACAGTCACCAACGGAAACAACAAAAAATACGATATTTAGCAAATAATTCATAATTTTCCCAGGCTTTATGTGAAACTGTGCTTTGTCCTGGAACGTCTGGGACTTAAAGCAGTTCAGGCGGAGGCAGTCAGGACCAGGCCCTGACGCGTGCAAGGCAGCAGAAAGGTTCACCCCGTGGCGACCCACAGGGGGGTGTTGGTGGAGACAAGGGCCCACAGGTTCTCTCGCATTCTTTGAAGCCCAGCAAGGGCCCCCCTGCAGGCTTGTGTGTGCTCCCTGCACCCAGCCCTGCTGCAGCCCCTCCTCTCTGGGCCGTGTGGAGCCTATGCTTCCATGCAGGCGGGTCTCTAGTGGGCTGCTCCCTCCCCACAGGCCCAGCTCATCGCCCAGTCCATCGGCCAGGCCTTCAGCGTGGCCTACCAGGAGTTCCTGCGGGCCAACGGCATCAACCCCGAAGACCTGAGCCAGAAGGAGTACAGCGACATCATCAACACCCAGGAGATGTACAACGACGACCTCATCCACTTCTCCAACTCAGAGAACTGCAAGGAGGTGAGCCGCCTTCTGCCAGCCCCGCGCTCCACGCCGCGCTCTGGGCGACCGAGCCGGGCAGCCTCAGGGAGGAGCTGCCCGGCGCCCCCCCCAGCTCAGCTCACGGGAGAGAACGCGAGAACAAGCCTTTCTGGGCGCTCACACCAGCCGCTGTCTCCACAGCAGACTGAAGGCGGCCCGAGATGGACGTCGTGCTCCTGCTTCGGAGCTGAGCACTTGTGTGTGGAATGAGGTGTGGGTGTTGTAACAAAGAAGCTGATTACAGTCCGTCTTAATGACCCTGAAAATGTGCCTTTTAATGCTGTTGTTATCATCACTGGTGCTCAGCACCCAGGAGACGTTCCTGAAAAGCGTGGGGAGGCAGCTTTAAAACAGGGTACCTGTGTGCTAGGCCCGGGGGACTTCTGAAGCTGCCAGTAGTGTGGGCCTTAGCAGGTTCCACTGGATCTGCTCAGGGGTACTCAGAAAGTCCTCCTAAGACAGAGGCCCTGGGGATGGCCGTACCCCCCCTGCTTGTTGAATGAATGAATGATTCCTGGATTCTTGTGAATGAGTGAATGGATGAATGATCCTGGCTGCTTTTGAATGAATGACCCTGATTAATTGAATGAGTGAATGGTGCTGACTGTTTGTTGAATGAAGGCATGACCCTGGCTGCCTGTTAAATGAGTGAATGAATGAATGATCCTGGCTGTTTGTCAAATGAATGACTCTGATTGATTGTCCAATGAAGGAATGATCCTGACTGCTGGTTGAGTGATTGAAGGAATGAATGACCTGACTGTGTAATGAATGAGTAAATAATCTGATTGCTTGTGGAATGAGTGAACAATCCTGGCTTCTTGCTGAATGAATGATAGGCAGCTTTCTGAGAGTGACTCTCGAGGCAGAGAGAAAATAGAAGGACTTTTCTAGAAAGAGCAAAGGTCAGGGGCAGGGTTTGAGTCCTGGAGTCTGAGAACATTCCTCTGGCCTCCATTGGCTTGGGAGGGTGAGGGAAGCAGGAGCCAGAACATGGGCTGTGCTTGGGGCTGGGGGAATCAATGCTGGGCATGGGAGGGGAGGAAGTCTGTGTTCCTGGTTCCTGGGATTGTTAGGGGCTCCAGGCGGGCTTGGGAGCCAGAGCCGGACGAGGCCAGGGCTAGGTGAGCAAGCTAAGACGGGCTGGCCTTGCTTCCAAGGACAGGGCTGGCACCACTGTGCTCAGGGGCGTGCTGGTCCTTCGGTGGGTGCTGAGCAGAGGCCCCAGTCCTGGCACCCATCGGGGCACTTCTCATTCTGCTGATTTCCTTGCAGCTGCAGCTGGAGAAGCACAAGGGCGAGATCCTGGGCGTGGTGGTGGTAGAGTCAGGCTGGGGCTCCATCCTGCCCACGGTGATCCTGGCGAACATGATGAACGGCGGCCCGGCTGCCCGCTCAGGAAAGCTGAGCATCGGAGACCAGATCATGTCCATCAATGGCACCAGCCTGGTGGGGCTGCCCCTCGCCACCTGTCAGGGCATCATCAAGGTGGGCGCCCTGGGCCCCTGCCCGGTGGTCACCAGCTCTGCCTTTCTCCTCACACATTGTAGTCCCCACTTGACCCCCGAGGAAACTGAGTCAGAGACTCCCACCTAGTGACCATGAACTGAAGACTCTACCACATGCTGAAGTCAGAGAAGGACCTGGGCCGCCCCTGGGGGTGAGGAGGGACCTTTCGTTTCACTTAGCCCAGTTCTGAGCCACGTTGACCCCAGGCAAGGGCTGAGGACCTGTAGATGTAGGGTGACCAATTTGTCCTGGTTTGCCTGGGACTGTCACAGTTAGCCCTGAGTCCCACTTCCTGGGAAGACTGGGAGGGTTGGTCAGCCGACATGGACCTGAGAGCTGAGAGGCCGCTCTGACCATCTGACCTGTGAGCTGGAAGCTTGGAGAGGTGCTGAGCTGACTGTCCCTGGAGGGGGTCTTGCAGAGGGGACACAAGCAGGTGGGACCAGAGGCCTTCACACCTGGCCGCTCCAGGTCTGTAAGAGTCCCGGGGCAGAAAGATCAGACGGGCTGCCCCAGGAGGGGCCTTTGCTCTCTCCAGGGTCTCCAGGCAGTGGCTCTGCCTGTTGGGGGCAGTCCTGTGGCCCTCTGCCTAGGGTCTGCCCTCAGCCCTCTGGCTTGTCCCCTCTCCACCCAGCTGTGGTTTTGGTGCTGGAGGACATGCTTCCCTCCGCGCCTGTCAGCCTGAGAAATGAAGAGCATTCCCGAGGCCAGAACGCTCCATGAGCAGGCTCTGGGAGCTGGCCCAGCTAAACCAATAGGTAACGGGAAGGTGTAGACAGACAGGCATGGGAGAGGCCTCAGTCAGCGGCACCAGAGGCTTGGTTGGCCAGGACCCTCCCTCTGAGGGCTACCACTCCCAGCTACTCCCTCACCTGGGCTCTGACTGGGCTGTTCTTGTGCGTGTGCGCGTGCGTGTGTGTGTGTGTCCAGAGGAGCAAGCTGAGCTGCAGCCAAATTGAGGCTTGAGCCCCTCCTCCTATCTCCCCACCCCCACCTAACCCCAGAACCATGGCCTGGGGCGTCGCTGTCCTCTTTGGGCCCGAGGTCACCCTTGGCTCCAGCTGGCCCTGTCTCGGTGCAGACACCAGAACCTCCTGCTCACAGACTTTCACTGAGCTGGTCGCTCCCTGTCCTCACCCCGCCATAAGCACAAGCGCCCGTCATTGGAAGGTGTTTTGTTTTGAGGAAGGTGTCTCCACAGCCCTTCCACACAGAAAGTTCTCCTCCTGTAGTCAGCGTGGTGAGGGCCCCTCCCGAGAAGCACCGTGGAGGGCGACCTTGGGGCCAGCCTGTGGGTCGTGCACAGTGGTGCTCTGAGCCTGGCCACTGGCTCCAGGAGCAGCTGGTTTTTTCCTGGGTCGGGGGCACACTCGCCAACCTGGGAGACCCAGGAGCCCTGCATACGGGTCAGGGTGATGCCTTTACCCCCTCACAGGGGGACACTGAGGCTGAGAGGGAACTGTCTCCCTTGGGCTCGTGCCCCTGCACTCGGAGCTCCCCCCTGCCAGTCAACTCATTCTGGGCCCAGGCCTGTGAGGGTGTGCATGCAGATGGCATCTTGGGCCCACCTGTGACTCTCGTCCCGTACTCTGCAGGGTCTCAAGAACCAGACGCAGGTGAAGCTCAACATCGTCAGCTGTCCGCCGGTTACCACGGTCCTCATCAAGCGGCCTGACCTCAAGTACCAGCTGGGCTTCAGCGTGCAGAACGGAATCGTGAGTCCACTCTCTTGCCCTGCGCCTCCTCCCCTGCGCATGCGTAGGGCCTGGGTGCAGGGAGCTGGGCTGGCGGCTCTCTGCCCCTGCCGCTGGAACCGCTTCTGTCTGTCAGGCAGCCCCAGCCAGTGGGCACAGCAGCCAGCAGCCAAATTCAGAGCTTTTAGCGTCACCTGGGGCAGGCCTGGGCAGGGAGAGAGGGCCAGTGTGGCCGTGGAATGGGTCCCTCAAGCCCTGCCCTAGGCACCCTTGTCCCTGTGATGGCTGTTCTCTGCGGGCACCTACTTTGGAGGCAGGAGGCTTTTACAGCCACTGCTGTCTGGATGCACACAGCCAATGGCAGTGTCAGACTTACTATGTTCAACAAGCAGATGTCCACTCATTTGTGCATTCATTCACTCATTTACTCACCCATTCAGAGCCATTTGTGAGGCACCTGCCCTGTGTCAGGTGCTGTGCCAGGCACTGGAGAGGGAGGAGGGCTTCCAGGAGGAGGTGATTTTGGGCTTGCGTGAGTGTTGGTCTGCCCAGACATCTGTGCCTGTTCCTTGGGCCAGAGCTCTTCAGCCCAGAGTTCCTGCCTTCTCCTCAACCCACGTTTGGCCCGTGTGAGTTCCATTTCCTTGGTTGTTCCTCCTGCAAAGGTCCTGGTGGGCAAGGACATGACCACGGATAGAGGATGGAAGAGGGGAGGCCAGTCATTCCCAGATTGCTTAAGCTAGCCCTAGTTATTAAAGAACCAGGGAAGAGATTATGCGGTGGTGTGAGGTGAGGGGGAAGGTGTGTGCACCCACTCACAGCCACAGAGAAAACACATGTGAGAACATTCTAGAAAGGCAGCTGTAAATGAGACAAAACTTCCCCATTGCTGTCTGGTGCAGAAGCGTGGAGAGGTGCAGAGAGCTGGGAAGAGCCACAGGGCTTGGGCTCCAGGCCCGTTTTTGTTGCTTCTGCTGGAGCACACTGCTGCTGTGACAAATATTCCCCAGATCTTGACATAGTAGGAGTTGGGTTCTCAGTCATGTCACAGTCCAGTGTGGGAGGGGGCCATGCTCCACAGAGCCGCTCGAGGTCCAGGCTCACCCTCACCTGGGTTTTGGAGGCCCCACTGGCCGCTCTGAGTCTGGCTGGCAGCTGAAGGAAGACAGAGACATAGATGTGGCCCTTGCCATTTCTGCCACATCCCACTGGCTGGACAGAGCTCAGCCACACACCCCATAAAACACAGGGCAGGCTGGGAAGGTGGTCCAGCTGGCCCCCAGGAGGAAGAGGGAAAGGGTATGAGGCCATCTAGCCAGTGCTGGCCATACATTCCTAGTTGTGTGACCTTGGGCAAGTCACTTAATCTCTCTAGATTGTCCTTAAAAGGTGGTTGTGAAGATTAACTGAGAAAATCCATAAAGAACACTGAGATGTCCAAGGAGGGCACCCTGTGCCCACTTCTGCAGAGGGGAAAGGCCCCTTGGCACTTGTACCCAGGCACAGGTGCCCAGCCAGATTGTCTGCATCCCCTTTGAGACTTCTGTTGGGGACAGTGCATCTGCCCCTGGAGCTGGCCAGCAGGTGGTCTGGCCTGGCCCTACCCCGCCTGGCCACTCTGTACACACATGTATCCTGGGCGCAAGCAGCTACCCCAGCTAATTTAGAAGCTCTGCAGGAAGTCGACTGGGGTCCCTGCCTGCAGCTGCTGAGCTGTGTGGACGGGCAAGGGATCCACACTCTGGAAAGGGCTGGCATGGGGCTTCTGACCTGCCTGACATCCTGAACCAGCACGCAGGGCTCGTCTGGGTGTTGTGCTGCTCCGGCAGTGCCTCCCTCCTCGGCATGGGGGCAGGTGGATGAGGGCGAGGGCTGTCAGTAACCCTGGCAGTCCCCATGAGGGGCCCTGCAGCACTGGATCGGAGTGTGGGGCCCAGCCTCTACCTTCTGCGTGCCACCGGCAAGCTCACCATCCTCTCCCTGTACCCTGCCCAGCCCGGGTGCATGGTCTTTGTCTGTAGAATGCTACTCGGTGCAGCCCCATCCCACAGTGAGCCCTGCTGGAGGACGGCGTGTTGTGTCAGGGCTGGCTTTCCCTAAATGGCCGTGGCCAGGCCCCCTGTGTGGGGGCTGAGGGGGCTGCCTGTTCTTGGGGCCTGTAAGCCCAGGACAGGCCTGATACCCCCCATCCCCAACACTTTCCTCTGTGAGCTCATTTTAATCCTCACAACAGCCAGAAGAAGAGCACAGGGACTGGTGAAGAAGCTGGGGCACAGAGAGGTTTGGTGACTTGCTCCAGGTCACACAGTTAATGAGGCCATCTGGGACCGTGGAGGGGCGGGGGGAGGAGAAGAGACAAGGAAGGGGAGGGGCTCTGGTTTGTGTTTCGTGGGGACTAAATTAAGGTGAGCAGGAAAGGACGGGGATGCTGGGCCTGGGAAAGCAGTAGTGAGGACAGGTGCAGGGCAGCCTGAGGTGAAGCCATAGGCCTTTCTTCTCAGAGACCGGGGGAGGGGAGGTAGCTGGGGAGAAGGCAGGGTGACAAGGGGGCTCCCCCAAGGAGGTACAGGAGAGGGTCTCTGCAGGGGGCGGTGGACGTGCTGGGGCCGTGTGAGTGGCCAGGAGGCTGAGGGCAGTGAGGAGGGCAGGGGGGCTTTTCAGAAGGTTTGGGGGGTGCAGGGTCAGGGTAGCAGCAGATCTAGGCTTTTTGGGGCCTGGAGCTGGGGGAAAATAATACCCAATTCTGAAGACAGCATTGCCAGGGCCACCCCCCCGACCCCCAGCCAGGTCACAGTTGGACCCGGGTCCACAGGACCCGACAGGCCCTGAGGCTAGTGTCATCCGTTTCTTGGTGCTTCTGCCACTGGTCCAGAGTCCCACTTCCAGGGTGTGTGGGTGAAGCTTGGGGCCCAGGGCACTGCTGTGGACGAGGAGCAGCACAGCCCAGAGGCGGGTGGCTGGGGGCTGAGAGCTGGGGGCTGTGGGGGCTCTCGGGGGCTTCCGCCCAGGTACATCGCAGCTTGCCCTGAGTGCCAGGGAGGGTTGTAGACAGAGCAGTGAATCTGCGTGGCTTTATCCTATCATGATACGTCTCCCCAGGGATCTAGGAAATTGGATGCAGGCAGCTGCACAAATCAATCCCATCTCCACCTGGCCCTGCATGGGTGGCCTTCAGGCCAGCCATGCTGACCGGGTCCTCGCCTGCCTTGTGAGTACGCCCATGCCCGTAGACAGGTGTGGGGTGTAGGGGCTGGCCGTCCAGGCTTGGCCCCCAGGGCATTCAGAGGCACCTCTACTAGGTAGCTACCAGCATCACCACCTGTGGCCAGGGCACACCCACCACCTGGGCTGTGTCTAGTTGTCTCTGGTGGCTGATGAGTGCCCCAGGCTTCTCCACTCAGCTGGGGCCTCACAGGAGGAGTGAGTTTGGGAGAACATTCAGGAGGCCTGAGGTGCTGGCTACTCCTGTCCAAGGGTTTGCTCTGGGCACAGAAGAGCCATCCCTCACTCCTCACAGCGTGGTCAGGTTGGGACCAGCGGCCCCAGGGGCCCTGGGCCTCGGCTTCCAGCCCGCCCAGCCTCGCCAGAGGGGCCTGGCCTGGTAGCTGTCCCCTCCCATGTGGTGTGGTCTTCTGCTGCCTGCAACAGTGGAGCCCTCCCCTAGGTGTCACCTCTCTCATCACCACTGGGCCTGCTTGTCCCTAGTGCCCAGTGAGTCTCTCAGGAGGCTCCCACCCTCACCAGGCCCTGCCTGGAGTCCTGGCTTGAGCTGGCCTGGGACAGCCATGGGGCGACCCCTCAGCCTGCACACATAGTGTCCATGGGTGAGTGGTGGCAGGACACCTGGCTAGGAAACGGCATTTGTCAGCTCCTGCGCAGACCCACTGTGGTTTTCTGCCAGATTACTGCACAAACATTTCCCGTGGCAGGTGGCAGGCCTTACTGTGCAGGGTGAGCAGTGAGATGAAATATGTCCCAGCACTGGGGTGTCTTGGTAAACCTGGGTGCTGTCACGTGAGACGGAGAGGGAGGGGCCCTCTGCACAGCAGTCAGTGTGTGCATGTATGTGTGTGCGTGTGTGAGCGTGCATGCATGTGTATGTCTGTGCATGGGTATGTATTTGGGGCGGGTGCACCTGTGCCTCTCGGACCCCACCTGGCTTCATCCTGGAGTTTAGTGTGTCCCATCCTCTCTCCGGAACAAGAGGGCCCATGTGGCTAAGAAGCTGTATTATGTTATAGAATCTGCCTCTCCCACCACCACCCCTTCTTCTTTAAGCCCTGACTCCTAGGACGTCTATTTCATTTTGTTTTGTTTTTGTTTTTTTAAATTGTGGTAAAATACAATTACAGTTTAGTGTACAGTTTAGTAGCGTTAAATACATTCACATTGTTGTGCAGCCAATCTTAAGAACTCTTCATCTTGCAAAACTGAAACTCTGTCTGATTCAACACTAACTCCCCACTCCCTCCTCCCCCAGCCCCTGGCAACCACCATTCCACTCCGTGTCTTTGAATTTGATGACTCTAGGGACCTCATATGAGTGGAATCCTACAGGATTTGTCCTTTTGTGACTGGCTTATTTCACTTAGCATGTCCTCAAGGTTCATCCATGTTGCAGCAGGTGTCAGGATTTCCTTCCCTTTTAAGGCTGAATAACATTCCACTGTAGGTGTGTACCATGTTTTGTTTATCCATTTATCGATTGATGGACACTTGGGTTGTTTCCCCCTTGTGGCTGCTGTGAACATCAGTGTGCGAGACCTCTGTTTTCCAGTCTGTCTGGTTTCGTTGTTGCAGGTGCTCCTAGACCCCCAGTCCATCTGTCTGGGGTCAGTTCTAGGAACCAGGAAATGAAGGCCACCCCATGGGCAAGTTCTTCCCACCAACCTAGGGCATCCCTGTGGAGCTGGTGTCTGTGAGGCTGGTTCAGTTAGGGAACAGTGTTATCTGTCCCTGTTTCACAGATGAGGACTGAGGAACAGGGAGGTGAGGTACCCTGCCCCAAGGCTCCCAGCTGGGAAGTGGCCGAGCGGGGATTGGGCCTGAGGCTGGCCATCATGGGGAACACGCCCACTGTTCATCATCAGATGCTTGTGCAGTGTCAGGGTATCAGTGGGTGAGTGTGCGCATGGATTTGGTGGCATTTATGACCAGTACAGTGGCTGATGTGTCTGTATCTAGGGCCCGGGGAGTTGATAACCAATCAACAATGTGCATACGAGGCCCTGGTAGTAGCTTCCGTCATGGCCAGCCAACCAGTCTCTCCTCACTGAGACTGCAGGGACCACTGTGCCCACTGACAGCAGTGTGCCACGCACCAAGTTCCCCGGAGTCTTCTGGAAAAGTTTGCCGACATCTGAGTTAGTCTTGCACAAGTGCTCTTTCCATTTTCAGCTTCATTACGCCCAATGAAGTACAATGCATTAGTTTGCAGACAGGCTCTGGATGACCCAGTTAACACTGTTTCTAAATGGATCTCTCCTCTCTCTTCCCGCAACACCATTCAAGAAATCAGGAAGTCTCCAGCTGGGAGGCATCAGCCTTCCTCCTGACAAGTGCACCCTGTGAAGTTAGAACACTCTATGGCCCCGGTTCCTGTGGGGCGGGCCTCGTTTAGGAAGGCCAGCGGCCTGTGTGTGTGCACGTGGCCCTCTCCTTAGCTCTTCCTGCTCCCCTTCTGCCCCCTCCGCCAGCCTGCCCCCCCAGATTCCAGCCAGGTCACCCACCAGGGTCTGAGTCCATCCTCCTGGCAACCCTCTCTCAAGATGCAAAGCCATTTTCTCCCTCTCCCCTCTTCACCTTCTTTCCTCGAGTCTCTGTTACTGAACCAAGTGGGCTTACCTCCTGGTGAGTTAAATAAGACTCTACATCAGTGGAAGTTGTCTCACAAAGTAAAGTGTATTTGTAGCAAATAGGTGGCCATGAGGAATCATTTCCAAAGTCATGGTGTCCCCAAACAAAGGGAAGCAGGAAGTTTTTTTTTTTTTTTAATTTTTCCCCCAAAGCCCCAGCAGATAGTTGTATGTCATAGCTGCACATCTTTCTAGTTGCTGTATGTGGGACGCGGCCTCAGCATGGCCGGAGAAGCGGTGCCGGTGCGTGCCTGGGATCCGAACCCGGACCGCCAGTAGCGGAGCGCGCACATTTAACCGCTAAGCCAAGGGGCGGGCCCAGGAACTTTTATTTGTTTGGGGAATGAATATTCAAAAGGGAGAGGCGGGTATTCGATGCACAGGCTCAGTTGGAGAACATGCTTCCACATAATGAGGCCTAAGCTCCTCCTGGAGAGATCTTTGCATTAAAAATAGGGCAAAGGTCATGGGCATAGCTCTTGTGGTGAGGTTTGGTCAGTTTCAGGATGGTTGGTGCTTACATTTCCCTTGAGTTTCTCACTTGGTCAGTTTCAGGATGGCTGGTGGTTACATCTCCCTTGAGTGCCTCATTTGGTCAGTTTCAGGATGGCTGGTGGTTACATCTCCTTAACATACAAAAGGAAAAGAAACAACTGGGAAAGGTGCCTTGAGAAACTCAATTGCTTCCAAACCCACCTATGAGTTTCTCAAGGCACCTAGTCATTGACATGTCCAAGACTAAGGAGGAAGCTGCCCCCAGCGATTTAGTCAGGCACCTTCTGCAGAGTGTCCCAGCTTCTTTCGGGAGCAAGCTGGACCTAGCCTCACACTTGGTCGGGCTGGGAAGTGAGCCAGGCCATCCTGAAGCACCTTGTTCAGGATCTTCAAAGCCAGTTACACTGGGTACAAAATGCCCTTAAATCATTTGGGGGAAACAAAGAATAAAAGTTCATCCTTAACGCTGTGTGGAGTGTTTGGGCAGTCAGGGGAGCAGGGCCTCCACCTGACAGACGGGTGCTCCCCCTTTCTGGAAAATAGATGGCCTCAGGTCAGCCTGTTTCTCTGCCCATACCCTGGCCCGAGTGCCTGGGTTCCAGGACTGTGACCAGCTCTGCTGCAGGAGTCCAGGTGCTGGGAAGCAGTGGCCTTGTGCTGTGACATCAGTTTGCATGCATGTCTCCTTCCAGAAAGAGAGGGACCCTGAGCGCTGGGAAGGACTCTGAGTGCTCTGGGCACCATGCCAGGATCCGCACACACATGGTCTGGAAAGGCCTGTGGCGTTTGTGACAAGGCAAATCTTACAAAACAAATGGCAGTGGGAATCCTGTGGTGCTGCCAGCGTCAGGCTACGGTCAGTGGCCGTTTAAGCCTATCTCAGCCTTAACAAGATGCCACTCCAGGTCCTGAGGGAGAGAACTGGGGAGGTGGGGGCAGGCAGGGTGGAGCGGTCCTGTCTGAGGCTGGGAGAGTCGGCCCCCAGTGGCCCCGGAAGTGAGATCCAAGCCTCACGAGCAGGCCCGGCTGGGGGCCGGATGAGAAGTGTCCCTGACACAGGCGGGAGTCCCCGAGGTGAGGGCAGAGGAGGTTCTTGGATAACTGGAGCCTTGCCATGGAGCGGAAAGAGCAGCGCGTCAGGGAGAAGGGCCTGCTGTTCTGCCGGAATCTTCCACCACCTGCAGCTGTGCTTCCTGCCCGCAGGCCGACCCTTGACCTCTCAGAGTGCTGACCAGAATCCCCCTTCCTGTCTCTGGGTCGAGGTTCCCTGCCTTTTCAAGTATGAGGACCCCTAAAACGTCATCAAAACCTCAACAAGACAATAGCCATGTGGTAGTGTTTTCAGACTGAGGAAACTGTAAGGACGAAGCCCACTGTGAGTTCAGTGAGGCCTTTAGGTGACACGGGGGGCCGCTGGGCACTCGGGGGACAGGCTCCCTCCAGCTGGGCCTCCCTGCCTGCTCGGGGCTCCATCTTTCTTATCCTCAAGCAGGCCTGGTGGGGCGCAGCCTTCCAGGGCACGGAGATAATGCAGAGGAAGGGGCTCTGGGGTCCGGGCGATGCTGGCCGAGGTGCCGGGGGTTGGGGTGACAGGTGGGGCGGACAGAGACCCTTCTAGTGATGGCTGTGTTTTCTCTCAGGAAGCCTCAGCCCCAGGGGCGCTGCTGTCGGACCCCCTGCCTCTGCTCCCATGCTGTTCCTAGATCACTAACCCGGGTCCTTGGACACAGCCGTGGTGGGGAGAGGCCTGGTGCCCTTTCAGATCCCTCCCCCGCTGCCTCTCCAGGACTTCAGCATTCCTCCCACCATGGTGCTTTCATTCCTGCACCTTTCGTGGGTTCCCCAGGGCCTGGCAGAGCCCCCCGGGAACCGTTGGGGAGCGGATTGCCCACCTTCTCTCCATGAGCTGACAGCTCTCGCCCTGAGCTCTGTTCTCCTGTTGTCTGCGTGGGGGTACACATTTCTGATGCCTCGATCTTTAGTGAATTTCACAGTCTTAGGGGCTTCATCGTCATTTCCCCAAACTCTTTCCATTTGTTGGCTTGTGAAATCTTCACCTCCTCATGAGGTGGGAACGGTGACTGTCTTTGCTTGAAAGAGGAGCAGAATGTGGCTGGCAGAGAATCTTCCAGAATGTGCTTTACCTGTGCACACCTCCAGCCCTTCACACTCCGCTGACACAGAAACAAAGGCTCTGGGGTGGCTGCGGGAGCAGGTTGCACTGTGGGGGATCTGGGAAGCCTGATGGTTCTCCCACATGCCATTTTTAAAAAACATATTCCAAATCATAAACCTCCCCATTCGTGAGTCAGCAGATGGCATGTGCAGCATTTGTCATGTGGGGCTTCTCCCTCTACGTGATTAACTTCCCTTCTCCCATCCTTGGGGACAGGAGTGAGTGCCTGGCAGGTGTGGCGGGAACTTGCGTGCTGACCTGATACACGTGTCTGCTTAGATCTGCAGCCTCATGCGAGGGGGCATCGCGGAGCGAGGCGGTGTCCGTGTGGGCCACCGCATCATCGAGATCAACGGGCAGAGCGTGGTGGCCACAGCCCACGAGAAGATAGTCCAGGCTCTGTCCAACTCTGTCGGGGAGGTAAGACCACGCTGATCCCCTGCCCTGTCATTTTCCTGAAGCCACCATCCGAGTCTAGGGGCATCTGGGCCCAGACATTTCCGTGACCAATGTCTAACCCGAGGGGGTGTATGAGGTGTTTGAGAAAGCCATTGGTCCCCGCCCTTCTCAGGAGAGCCTGTCCCTGCCCAGACCTCAAGCTTGTTCTGCTGGTTGGTGTCCTCCCATCTTGACATCTGCGAGCCACCCCCTTTCCAGGCAGCCCTGGGCATCAGCTGATCTGGCCGGGCTGTGTCCCTCACTCAGAGAGTGCCCGTGACAAGGGTGAGCAGAGTGGCAGGTGGCGTGCTTTTGGCTGTCCTGTTCTAGCTATTTAACTGTGCAGCACACGGGCGGGCAAAGGGAGGGGACAGAGGTCCTCTGACACTGTTTCTGGAATTGGATGTTGCATGCTGAGTTTGGGAGCCCCGCCCTCTGCAGGACTCACCCTGCCAGGGCCTGAGGCTCTGGCCCCCACGGAAGTGGGGCCGTCCCTCTGCCCACTGCCTGCTTCTTCCTGCCCACAGAGCCGGCCAGCTGTGGCTGCTTGTCCCTTTCCTGCTTCGCTGGCTTTAACCTTCCTTCTCTAGTTCTTTCTGGCATCAGTGCGATGCCAGCGTGAGGATGGACGAGGGTATGGAGGGGAGGGGCACAGGTTTCCTCAGGGAGCTCACGGTGAACAGGGGGACTCCGGGTGAGAAGTAAGATGCTAAGTGGGTGACACTATAGTGCCACTGTGGTGTGCCTGGGAAGGAGACCACACCCAGTGTGTGTGTGTGCGTGTGAGTGTGTGTCACGGTGAGTGAGGGTGTGTGAAAGGGCCAGAGTGAATGGGGTGAGGGTCTCCCTGGGAGAAGTGTGGGAGGCTGAGACAGAGCTGAAGAGGTGGGTCGGCAGAGGGGACAGTTGTGAAGGGTGCAGGTGCTGGCTTGGGAGCTTGGGTTTGATCGAGGGCTGTGGGGAGCCCTGGGGAATTTTGAACGGGACAGCAGCATGCTCAGAGTCTGTGGCAGTGCCGGGGAAGAGGGCGTGGTTCCATCTTGGCAGCCTGTGGGGTGGGGCAGGCTCTGCCTTGGCCCCTGGGTGGGATGGTGTTTCCCGAGGGGGCTTGAGATCACATCCTTTCCTGGGGTCACATCAGCATGCTCAGGATTTTGTGACTCTACCAGGGCTGGGGAGGAGGCCGGTTTTCCCCTGGATTGGTGGTGGCAGACGGCTGGCTCTCAGGAGGGAGAGGGGGCCAGGTAGGCGCCATTAGCCTCCTTTTACAAATGGCTTCAGAGAAAGGAAAATCCAATTTTCCTAATTACATGCTTTGAAATGGCTGCCCCAGTGGGGCGATCAGCGTCACACCTACGAAGAAATCAATCAGGTGGATCAGTCGGGTGGAGGAGTCGGGCCTGGGGTGATGAGAGAGGTTTCCAGCTTTTCAGACCTGAGATGAACTGATATTCAAAAAGGCGCAAAAGCGGGCCGAGGCTGTGTTCAGGCCGGCCGCCGGACCTCACACTTGCCTGGCCAGGGCTGGGAGATTCAAGTGTCTGCCTGCATTTTCCATCATCCCTGAGCACCTTTGGAAAACTGGTCACTGATAAACAAGACTTGAAGTTCTGATGAGCCTTGGGGGTGGGTTTCAGACTGAGGAATTGCAGACAATGAATCTTCTGATGGGAAAAGGCATACTGGGGGGATGAGGGAGGTAGCATCTAAATTGATGGAACAGATGCTGGTGGTGGGGGAGGGTGGGGAGCATGTGTGACAATAAGAAAACACGTCTGCAAAACTGGCCTTTCTGGGTTGGTCAGACGAGGGCCTGAGACCTGCTTGCTGGAGGAAGGGCAGACCTGGGGGGCGGCTGCACCCCTGGCCCACCTCTCGCTGGGCACCGAGAGGGTGAGGCCAGCAGCGCCCATGCCAGCCAGACCTCCCAGAGCCAGCCCACCTGCAGCGTCCTGAGCCTGGCGGTCCTACTAGAGCAGAGCTGAGGGGACGGCAGAAGCACAGCCCACCCTCTCTTTGCCTCCAGTGGTTTAGTTTCTTCCTGCCAGTGCCCTTGAGGGATTTTGGGGTGCGTGCCCCACACGGCCAGTCTCCCTGGGGAGCGGTCTTGTGTCTTGCTTGTGTACACAGCCCCCCTTGGAGCCAGGGAGTGAGGCCAGGCCCTGAAAGCTCATTTGCTAACTGATCCCCAGAGGATGGGGGCCTCAGAGAGCAGGTTCCCAGCCCCAGAACACTCGCTTCCTCCAGGTCCATAGGAAGGACTGTGTGGCCTTCACCCCCTCCTCACTGACACCAGGCCTACACCTGGCAGTTTCTGCAGAGGCCTGGGCACCCCCTGCCTGCCCCCAGCCGGCTGGGCAAACTGTAGTCACAGTTAAAAGTCTGATGTTTCGTCCCTCTGGTGTTGGCTTGAGTAGAAGGGAAAACTAGCACGTGACCGTGTGGGAAAGGTCAGAGTGAGGAGACGCCTTCCAAATCACCACAGGCAGGTCCTTCTGCGTCCTTCACTCTAAAGCTGGTATTTTACACAGAAAACCCCAGGGATTTTCTCAGCCAGTGGGGCAGGGATGTTTGTGTTCAGTTGATTGCAGGAGGGGAGGAGAGAGGGGAGGAGGGAGGTAGAGCCGGTTCAGCCCTGCTTTTGTTGACAGATCCACATGAAGACCATGCCCGCCGCCATGTTCAGGCTCCTCACGGGCCAGGAGACCCCGCTGTACATCTAGGCCGCCAGCCTGTAGTGCCCAGCCCGCCCGGGCCTGCAGGAGCCGAGGCCCAACCCAGGACCTGACCCCTGACCCCACAGCCCACCAAGGACACTGGCTCCCCTAAAGGGCGTGCCCTCAACACCTACTCTTTTTTGGACAAAAAGGGGTATGTCTTTATCAAAGGAGCGTCACAGGAACCAGTCTTTGTAGAACAGTTGAGTATTTTGCCGCATCCTGCATTTCCTCGTTTCGACTGCCCAGTGTGTCTGTTTGTCCCTCTGTGGTGTGGAGTGTGTCTTGCTCCCTGAAGCCGTGGAGGGCGGACGTGGGTGCCTCTGGAGGCAGCTGTGAAGGGAGTCCTCGAGGACAGTGAGCTCGTGGGGTGGCAGTGATGGCTCCTCCTGCCCCTTTGGCTGGGGGTCGGGGTTCTTCGGGGGGAGGGCACCCCGACAGCACCGAACCGGCTGATTTGGCTGCTGCCTCCTCGGCGGGAGTGTGGGCAGCCCAGCTCTCAGGATGTGACTTGTTATTGAATTTGGGAACATGTGATTGTATTTAACGAGAAAGGCGACGTTCCTGAGTTAAATAAAAGATGATGGCCTCAACAGCGAAACTCCATATTTATTTAGATAATGCCACTGTTTTGACTTTTATTTTGACAAGATGTTCTTCAGACTTTAGGGTTTTCCCGACAACCTGTCACCAGTCACCACACCCGCTGCTCATGTCCTCACCTCTCCCGAGTCTCTGTGGGCTTCCCTGGACTCCTCCCTCCCTGCGGCTGCCAATCCCGGAAGGCCTCCCCACTGGGCGGGCGGGCTCGCCCTCCTCCCAGGGGCAGGGAGAGCAGGGGGGCATTGCCCTCGGTCTGCACATGCACCCACACACGTGCTCCCCCCACAAAAGAAAACAAAACCCACATCAGAAAGCGCAACCCCTGCCATTCCTGGGGCAGCCAGTCGTGGGCGCGGGTCACTTGGGGAGCCAGCGCCATCGCGGTGAGCAGTATTCGAGTGTGTGTAGATGAAATGAAATGTAGTCTAGTTCAGTTCGAGATCAGTGTTAGCCGACATCATTTTGTCTGGAAGTCTCTTTTTTTGGCCCAGGCCTTGAAGAATACACTGTGACTTAAGAAGCCTTACCATGCAGTAACTAAAGCTTTAGGATTACTGTATTCAAGGAGTGCCCTGTGTGTTGCATGCAGCCCACCTTAGGAAGACTCGCTAATATCACTAATAAACCTGACGTCATGACGAAAAGCTGTTCGTGTGGCTGGTTTGTTAACCGAGAGCAGATGCCCGACTTCCCTCTAACTTCCCGCTTCACACTGTGGCTCTTTGCAGATGCCCCGTGGTGACCACATCCCCTCTGGGTCTGGGGCCTCGGAGGAGGCTCTCTCCAGTGAGGGCAGAGGTGGGTGGTCCAGGCGCCAGGTGTCAGGCTATCAATGGTGACAGGTCAGAAGGCCCGCCCTGCCCACCCCATCCCAGGGAGGAGATAGGCTGCCGACTAATTGGATGAGGGTGAGAGGGAGCCTGGGGCTTCTTCTGATGTGTGTAAAACAGAAAGTTGGACCACCTGTCCCAGGGCCTTCCCTTTACCTGTAGGGTCCTTTGCAGCCTGTCTCAAATAATCACAGGAATTGGCAGCACTCCCACCTCTGACCTTTCTCTGTGGCCACCGTCCTGGTGTCATCCGGTATGGGAAAGCAGGGGTGAATGTGGGCTTTGGTCAGAAGGCCTGGGGGTGTGTCCCAGTGTGTTAGCCTGGGGACCTTGGACAAGTAGGACCCCTTCTCTGGCCGCCCATAAGCAATCCTTGCTCCATGCTGTGAGGAGGCGCTTCACAGCTAGTGGCCCACACTTGGGTGATGAGAAGACTGTCAGGTAAGTAAAAGCTGGAGGGAAGGGGCCTCGGCTCAGAAAAGGCGTAGGTCCTCCCAAGGGGTAGGTCTCTGCAGTGCCCAAGACAAGAAATCTAAATTAATTAAGGAGCTTTGAGCCAGGGGCCTGCATTCCTCCCGGAAGCCTCGGATGTTGCATGCGTGGAGGGGCAGCTGTGGGCCAGCCTCAGCAGGACCTGTGCGCGTCCGGGCATGTACCCTCTCCCCCTCATGCCCCCAGGAGCTGAACTTCCTTCTCCAGAAGGATATTGGCAAACAGTTGGGTGGCCATCGTGAGCCCAGCCTGAGCCCTCCCTCGGGACCCTGGTCATCAGCCACACACGTGGGCTCTCAGCTTCTGTCTCTGTCCCAATTAGACCCCAGAGACACAGAGACCAGAAATAGTTTTTATTAAAACACTGATCATTATGAAAACACCTTGAGGTACATTAAATAAATACAACCTTCAAGTTGTACAAACAGGTCTCCTGTGGCTTGAAAACAATTTTCTATAAATTCTGCCTTAATAGCAGCATCTGTAAATCAATGCAGCTGAGGGGGGAAAAGACATCCATTTGAAATAAGCTGTCTGTTACATGATTTGTTAGAAGCTTTTGATTTGTATCGTCGTCGCCAGCTGAGGGAGACCTTAAGTCCTCGTGAAGGATGAGATTCCCCCCCCTGCCCTTATTGGCCACAGAGTTGGGGTGCAGAGCTCACCCACTCAGCATCCTGGCAGCCCTCGGACCAGGGTCAAACAGCAGTGTCCGGACAGGCTCTGGCCCCCTTCGGATCTCAGAGAGGGCAGGGAGAGTGCCGAGGACCCAGGCCTGGGGGGGGGGGGGGGGAAGGGGGGGGGGGGGGTCCCATGCCTCGGCTTCCCAGTACAGCCTGTCCAGTTCTGCCCTGGCCTGCTGATACGCTAAGGAGAGCGGGGAGAACAGGGCCCAGCTGGAGGGGGAGAGGGACCCTTTCAGATGCCAAGAGCGTGAGGCTCCCGGGTGAGAGACGGTGCACGAGGGAGAGGGTGGACACCAGCCTTCCCCTTTGGCCACGCACCCACATGGTCTGGGGCTCCTGGTTCCTGGATGCTGCTGAGCAGAGCAGGGTCAAGGGCACCAGAGCTGGCGAGTCGGGTCCCTGGCCCATTCCTAGTGGCTCTACTGGCACCTCTCTCTTCCAGGACCTTTCCTGGTAGCCAGGAGCCTGGGCCCCGCTAGAACCCACGTGGACCACTGCGGGCCCTGAGCAGGAGGGCCACGCCCCCTCACCATCCTGACAGCACTGTTTCTAGGAGGCAGAAGATTCTAGCTCAGTGGTATAAAATGAGGTACAGTTTCCTCATCTGCAGGATGGAGTTGCTATGAGAGCGAATACAAAACAGCGTGAGAGGGCGTGTGAAGGGCAGAGCACTCAGAACCTCCAAGACCATGGGCTTTGGGCCAGAGCACCTGCTTGCACCTAAGTGGAGGCACAGCCTGTGGCAGAAGTCCAGGTGGCAGAAAAGATACTGTCTCGCTGTAGGGAGGAGAAGCAAAGAACACGGAGCACAAGGCCAGGCGCTCACCCTGGCTGCCCAGTAAAAATACTGATGCTGAGTTCCACCCCAGAGGTGGGGGTGGGGAGGGTAAAGGTTGGCCTCGCCCGAATTGCAGCTGGGTCCCGGGTCTGACAACTGCAGGCTTAGCCCACCCGAGGGCTCGGCCCAGGGACACCACTGTGTGGACCGCCCCCCCCAAGCAGAGAAACCCCTGCAGCCTGCTAATCTCTGGCTCCCTCCCCAGAGATGCTGACAGATGCCCTGATTCAGAGGCAGGGGTGTGGGGGCCATTAACGCTTTGCCAGCAGGCTCAGGGGAGGCCACGTGGAAAAACCGTCAATTAACTCGACCTGCGAGGGGACTTGCTTTGGGGGACTTCAAAAGCCCTCAGGAGAAAAATTAGAGAATAGATCTCCCGTTTTACAGTCTGAATAAAGTGCTCATAAATTCATCTCTGGTATGTCTCTAGTGGGAAAGTTCTGGTTGTCATCAAAAGGCCTGATTTATATTTTTCCAGCTCTCTCACCTCTGGGAGGCAATGAATGACCGATAACATTAGTGACGCACTCGGAGTGTTCGCAGCTGGCTGTCACTGAGGGCTTCCACTCCTCAGTTCCCGGGGGCTCAGGGTGTCTGAGCTGGAAACCCTCCCTGCTGCCTCCTTCCCAGCCTCCACCCACACAGATGCACCCCCAGCACATTGGCTACAGTGGGGCACAGAGCAGAGGGGAGGGCAGCATGTGGCCCCCCAATTGCCAGGCACTGAGCAGTGGTGAGCACCTGTCCATCCTCCCTCTGCACTCCGGTGCCAGGCCCGTGGGCTGTATGTTGGGAACGTCAGGCTCTGGGCTGCCTTGTCCATGCAGGGGCCACTGGCCACAGTTACAGTTCAGGTGCTAGTGGCTGCCGCTGTGGATGGCACAGGCACGGGCAGTCCCATGGCTGCAGAAAGTTGCCTCCAGGACAGTGCTGCTCCAGGGCTGCTGCTGGGAAGCAGCTGCTGTGGATGTTGCCAGAACATGAGGGGCGGGGTGCCCAAGTTGCCGTTGCAGAGGAGACTGGTCCAGCCTGCTTCTGCATACCCAGCTCAGTGGTGTTTTATGGAAATAAATGATTAACAACCTGCGTCCTCCAACATGGACATAGCTGCTGATACCTGGCAGGGGAAGGGAAGGGACCACTCCGGGCCATCAGAGCCCTGCTTCCTGAGGAGGTGCACGTATTCCATAGGGGCAGGACTCTTCCCCCAGACGCCCACCCACCGAGGCCATTCTGGAGGGCAGACACTGGAAACCCCCAAAGGGGCTTGCCACGGGTGCTTATTGTTAGGGATCAAGTAACAACTAAGAGTCGGCTCCGTACTGGAACCAGTTTAAGAGTGGGAAACAGCAGAGAGAGAGCCAGACAGCAAGCAGTGAAGGCACCCCACAGAATGAGGGCTGAGATGGGAGGCCCGGGAGACGCGGTGATGGGGGGGGGTCTCTCAAAGCCCCTTGCCACCCCAGTCTGCTTCCCGGGGGTGGCCAGGCCACAGCGCGGTCCCGCATTGTATCATATTTGATCTCACAAAAGCCCTGTGGGCAGAAAGCTGGGCCTGGGCTGCCATCTGTGCTGGAATTACCTATTTTTTTCCAAGTCAGCATAAGATGATAAAAGGTTGATCACTGAGCAATACAAACCACGTGGGAAAATGGTCTCATGACGTGATGTCAGTGTCTGTCCACTTAACACTGAACTGACTCAGGGTGGGGGAGAAGCCTGTGTTTTGATGGCCCTGATTTTGAAGATACTTAGTGTCTTTAGTTACATGAGTGTCACCTGTCACTGTATTCCTGTAATGCTGGTTAGTTCAAGGTGCTACATGCCTGACAAAACCAAAGAGTTCACGATGGACATGAGAGTCGTTTTCTGTCTTACTGGAATATAGGAAGTGTCATCCCACGAGAACAACTGATCAGACCCCCTGAAGAGAAGGAACAGGAGTCCCCTCCTGAGCCACCAGGAGACACTCTGGGGCTGCAGGCCTCCCACCTGAGAGCACAGTGGCCTCTGGCAGGACAGTTTGGCACCAGGCCTGTCCATGTCCACGTCTAGACCTGTGGCTCGTTCACACCTGGTCCAGAACACCGGTGCTGAAGACGGCCTCCTCCACGGGGCACTCTTCAGAGGTCACCACTGAGCGGATGGCGCCCACCACATGCCGCACCTCGGGAGGGAGGGCACAGTTTGAGTGTTCCAAAAATTTAGCCACCAAAACCCTGGCATCTGCGTAGGCCTTGCTGTCCACTAAAGAGTGCGGCCGCTCTTTGGAGACCATCTGTAAGGCCTCTGGCTTTAACCGCTGGTGGATTTTCCAGGCATCTGGTTCCCCAGAGGGTGAAAGCTGGTGCCGACAAGCACCGGTGGCGATGACAGAGCGAGATAGGGAAACTAAAAATCAAGGGAAAAGATAAAATCTGAAAACAACCAAAACCAAAACAAAACAAAAGGCAGCTATTAAATAAATTCTTTAAAAAGCAAACATAAGCATGCTCGGGACAGGCCTTCTGCTGGGATTTCTGGGTTCCTGACCCGTGCTCTGGGTGAGCCCCTGCTTCCTGTGTCCCCTCGTCCCCTACGTGGCCTGCCCCTCCCAGCCCTGAGTTAAGCCAGCATTAACCTAGAGGGGCTGCAGCCTCCGGGGCTGGAGGACTGGAGACGGGGCAAAATGCGAAGCAGGCTGGGGAGAGAAGGGTGGTGTAGGGTAGGTGTCCCCCTTCCATGGGCCTCTCTGTTAGAAATCCTGAGCTCACAGGGGGCTGACCCTTCTCAGCCTTCCCCAGCTCAATGACCTTTGCCCTTGTGGGTCTGATGGCATCTAGAGATGGGTCTGCCTTACGACCAGAGCTGGGGATGGTCGAGGGGCAATGAGAGCCCCCCTCCGCCATGTCAAGGGTAGACAGCAGCCACCTGTCAATGGGCAGCAGAGCTCAGAGCACCCAGTGCCCTGCTCCCAGTGCCCGCCAGGCCAAGGGCTGGGAAATAGCACCAGCCCCCAACAGGGCCCACAGCCACTCTGGATGACCCACAGGACCAACACTGGTCTGATGGTGCCTCCAGAGAAAGCCAGCTCCAGGCGGTCAGCTGTGGCCGAGTCACCAAGGACCAGATTAAGGCCTGACTTGCCCACTCTATGTTTCAAGTCACACACAGGAAACATATTCTGGGTGGTCTGGGATATTTTTGGTGGCAATGAGCAAATCCGGCAATTAAGCATGAGAAACTGTAAAAAACTCACATGTGAGGCCAGTCTCCCCTCAAAATAGAATCTCATAAATACAGTGAAACAAGCAGCTTCTAATATCTTCCACCAAGAGAGAAGGGAAGGCGGTTCTTTCAAAGCCCAGAGAGCTGGGGAACCCACGTTCCTGGGTGACTCTTTGAGAGACTGGATTTAGACACTAGTCACCCCTCTGTCCCCCCCAGTTCACAGCACGTGTCAAAGTGTTTTAGAAAAGGAGCGTCTCACCGGTCCCCAGGGCCGCCTGGGACAGCCCTGCTTCGAGGTCCTGGCTGCGGGAGGGAGCGTGGGAAGAGGCAGCGCCTTAATCAGAAAGAGATTCAGTTAAGACATGAAAGGGAAAAAGGAATTCCAAAAGGATAGCATTATAATGACCCTCCTGTGGCTAAGAAATATATTTTAGATGACAGACAAGCGAAAAAGGAAAACTCTGAAACTTAAGCAAACCTGAGCACAGATGAAACTGGAACAGCCCTGCAGCTGCAGCCACCATGGGGCTGGCAGCGTCCCCGGGGCCCTTTACTTCCTCAGCTCAGCCAGGGCAGCGCAGGGGCCAGTGCTACAGGCAAACCCAACGCCCATCATCCGAATGCCCATCCACATCCGAGGGTCTCCAGAGACCTGGGGAGGCACGTGCTTTCGACGTGCGGAACATTAGGGGTCTCGTCCAGCCAAGAGGAGGTGGAGGGCACAGGGCATGTGGCGGGATGCAGAGAAGGCATGGTGACAACTTGTAATCAAGGCACCTCTTCCCTTCTTCTCCATCCCTGAAGTGTCACGGTTTGCAGAATATGAATCTCACTGAGGGGGACAGGCCACAGAAAGCCATCGGGGGCACAGAGCAGACCCTCAAGTGCGTGAGATCCTCCCCACAACCTCAGTGTGCGAACGTCAACAGGTGTGGCCCTGAGAGGATAGAGAGAGGGTCTGATCCTGGAACACACCAGCAGAGGGGGCGCCTTCTCTACATGAGCGCTGGCACCTGAATGTCGGAGGGGAGGGTGGAGAGAGGAAAGCTGGCCAGGAGCCCGCAGATGCAATCTGACACGTTTCCTCCAGGAGGCAATGCCAGGCTGCTGACCTTTGTGGGTTCCTGGTTCCTTCCAGGGATGCAGTTCTCCCAGGGCACGGATGGGCTCTAGTCTATTTGGGGTTCATCTGGACAAGACCACACAGGGGAGACTGTTCCAGACACCCACTGGGTCTCATCAGGGTTCTGCCACTTCCACTTTGTGAGTCCCCACTGTGATGGCATTGCAGTCTAAAAGCCCCCCAAGTTTGACTGGCAAGCACACTGCCATCCTCCCCCTCAAAAGACAGTAACACAGGAGGGGTCTGGTTCTCCAACTTCAGGTGCACAAGACCCCCGGGGAGCTGGTGTGAAATGCAAATTCCTGGGCCACTAGGCACAGGGACTGTGGTACCAGGTCCTACAGCCCAGGGAGGGCACTGCTCGCTCTTAAGAGTCACATGGGGCGATTGTGACACAAGCTCCAGGATACACACAGAGCGCTGCCAAGGGTGCCCATGAGTGCCGTTGAAAACACATGCGTGTCTGCCTGAGGCACCCCGGGCTGGAGGACACCCACCCACCCAGCGCTGTCACTGAGACAGCCACGCCTTACAGGCCCTGGGTCCCACCAGGCCACTAAGCAGGCCCTGGCATTTCCCACAGGTGCGCAGCCCAGGCTAGTCCTGGGGGGAGTCAACAAGGCCGATGGATAGATATAGCCTGTGGTCACCTGCCTGACCCTAGGCCCTTCCCGGGCCCCAGGGCTGGGTGCAGCCAGTAGGCTAATGTTGGGGGCTGGCTAACCCTCCAGGTGGGCTCTCGTCACCGCAAACCTTCCACGTCCCCTCTCCCTGTCCCTGGCCAGAGTAGCCAGCCTGGTGGGGGCATAGCAGGGACTCCAGACTGTCCAACCCCTTAGGGGCCTCGGACATCAAGACCACATTCCCAGTGTGGCCCCTGGGCAGGGGTCTCAGGGCCTGGCTTGGACTCTCAGGGGTCACTGAGGCCTGCTGTGTCCAGGGCAGAGCTGGGCACATGCTGGGGACACAGGTGGGCAGGGCCAGCCATACCTGCTGTGCCAGACGTGCACGAGGTGGGGTCGCTGGCGGAGCGAGCCACGCGTCCGGGACCCAGCCGCGCCCGCGTGCCCTGGTCCGGGCCCTCCAGGGACGCGTGGCCGTGGCGCTGGGCAGGCGGCAGAGGTGGCGGGGCGCCCACAGGGCCATCGGGGGACACGAGGCTCGGGCCCGGCGTGGTGGTGCCCTCGGTTGCTGGGAGGCTTGCTCTGTCAGCCGGCACTGCAAGGCAAGGACACAGCGTTAGCTCTGGCGCCAGGTGACCACAGAGCCATCCCGACGCAGGGACAGCGCCTGCCCACAGGCTTGTCGGATCAGAGGGCAAAAAGCACGGCCTCCTGGAGCCCTCCCAGGGGGCCTGGGCAGCCTGCCCTTCAAACCCCAAACCCAGACAAACCCTGTCACCTTGGGGGCACAGAACCACTGAACAGGCTGACAAATGCTCTGTGGTGCACAAAGGTTGGGGGGTACCAGATGATCTCCCAAGAATCATTCCAGAAGGGGTGTGGGGGTGGGGGACTTAGACCCTTCACACTCCACGAGAGATGAAAGTCAGAAACCAGCCACACCTCCCATCCGGGGCACCCCCTGGGGGGTCTGAAGTCTAGGAAGGTGGGGGGCAAGGGATGCTTGATGAACAGGGCCCAAGCTGAGAAAGGGGGTGGCTCTGAGGGACATCGGGACATCCCAGCCAGGTCTTGTTGGGCCTGCGAACCTGCCCGCCCCACGCACAGGGTGCAACCCGGGGCTTGGAGTGCAGCCCCTCGGTGAAGCAGGTGGGTACCCAGCCCAGACTACGCCTGCCTGGTTCTCAGAGCCCGCAGTGTCAGCCTCACCCAAGCTGTCAGGAATGCAAATTCTCAGCCCCAGGAGACCCAGTGAATCAGACACTCTGGGGCTGGGCCTAGCCATCAGGGTTTGAACAGGGCCCCAGGGGGTTCTCATGCCCTCTAAGTGTGCGAACCACTGCTCTAGACCTGTGATGCTGCTGGGCTGGGCTCAGGCCCCTTAGTATCCAAGGGAGGCACCCCAGGGGGCTGGATCAGAGCCTGTTTTAACAGGATCCCAGGGGACCTGCACACACTCAGGCTTGAGAAGCGCTGCTCCCCACACCAGACAACCTCAGAGCTCCCTTCCGCAGGCTCCTCACCTCGCTGGGCTAGGTTTTCCAGGTGAGTGGCCCACCTCGGGGACACTTCGGAAGAATCACAGCAGCCTGAACTCTCCAGGGGTGGGAGGCTTTGGGGTCTGTTCTTTCCATCCCTTTCTGTGGGTCCTGACCAGGAACCTGTGCGAGGCCTTACTGTTTCCAGGTGCTCCATGTGCCCTGATACCCGGGAGCTTGCCCTGTGCCAAGGGCTTTACCAGCGACCTCCTACTTAATCCTCACGGCCCAACCAGGTTACCCCCATTCCACAGCTGAGGAAACTCGACTGACAGAGGGGAAGGGAAGAGGGTCACAGGCCACCAAGTGGTGGAGCTGGCTGGAAGCAGCCCCATTCTAGAGCACCCCTGCTTAACTACCTTCCACTGTCTACTGCTGCCCCCTCAATACATGCTTTGGAACAATTAGCAGTCCATTTGGGAAAACAGAAAGACGAACCAGACCTCACAAATCATATGCAAAAAAAAAAATTCTTCAGGATGATTACTCCTTTTCTTTTTTAAGATGCCATAAGAATAGTAGTAGAAAATACATGAGAATAAATCCACAACCTTGGGGTGGAGAAAGACTTTGTAAACATGACAAGAAACCATGAATGAAAAGCTTGATAAATTTGACAACGAAAAAAATGATAAAACTGTGTGTGGCAAAAGGCATCATTAACAGGGGAAAGCAAAGCACAAAGTGGAAACGCATACCTGTAATGAATACAAGTGTTCTTGTATTCATTCACAAGAATGTGTCAAGAACTCTGACACATTTCCCCACATCTTTACTTAACAAATTTTTCTTATAAATCTACAAAAAAAACAACACTGTAAGAGAAAAACATGGACCAAACACTGACCTACGAGAGCTCAATAAACATGTAAACAGTTTCAAACTCAATAATGTGTGTGTGTGTCATGTTCACCTATAAGGGTGACAAAGATCATCAGGATGACAATGTCATGGGAGTGTCATAAACACTGTTGGTTGGTATATAAACTAGTAATAAAACCTTTCCAGAACACAACGTGGCCAGTACATCCAAACCTGACACACACCTTCCCTTGGACGGAGCAACTTCCCCGTTGGAATTTATTCCAAGGAAATAATTGGGCAAGTACTCAAAGCTGGATGTATACATGCAGAAAAGAAAAAACACCTTCCTGGATCATTAGACAACTTCAAACCTAGAAATTGTATTATTAACACTATCAAAATCTTATCAAAATTACACAGCAGTATATTACAATTATTTTGAATACTATTCATTCCTGCTGGTTTCTCTTGATCCCAATTTTCTCTCTCTCTCTCTTTTCTGAAGCTTCATTGAGGTGTAACTGACATACAAACACCCTGTACATATTTACTATATGCAGTTTGACGAGGTTGGACATATGTGCACACCCTTGATCCCAATTTCCTTAATGTCAGTGATAATCCAGTGGCTGATTCCTTGGGGAAACGGAGTCACAGAGAGGCAGATGCGACTTAGCTCTGAATACATATAATTAATAGGCACTTACAAAATTAGGGTAACGTTCCAGGAAAAGCTCATGGCCCTAGGCTGGTAACTCCCATTTCTGCACACCCTTACCCTGGGTTGTGTGCCTCTGTTTTACAGAATTCATAATCCTAGTGGACTTCCAGTTTTTCGCCTAACAGATCACAAGCATTTTTCCTAATTAATACATAAAATGTACATGTTTTCCTTGACTTTTATTAATAGAATTCATTGTCCCCATAAGTTTTTACTATTATGAAAAACACAACAACAATTTATTTTCATGCCTGGAGTTTTCTTTTTTTTGCTTATTCCCCTAGGCAGTTCCAGAAGTGTGATCACCACATCTAACAGCATAAACATTTTTATGGCTCTTTATCCAAAATGCTTTGTCAAAGGGGTGGGCTGGTTTACAAGGTGCCAGTCAGGGCTGAGCGTAGCAGCCTCTGTGAGGCCTTGCCACCATCCACATCCTCATTGCTATTGTGTTATTTTAATAGGAAAAACAATACCAGAATCTCCAAAAAAAAAAATTCCAGAGCTAATAAGTGAGTTCAGCAAGGTTGCAGGATACAAGATCAACACACGAGAAGGAATCACATTGGTATCACAGTCAATCACATCTACTAACAATGAACACCAGAAACCAAAAGTGAAAACACAATGCCATTGACAATTGCTCCAAAGAAAATGAAACACGCAAGCACACACTTAATCAAACATGTCCAGGATCTGTGTGCTGAAAATGACAAACGCTGATGAAAGAAATCAAAGAAGATCCAAATCAACAGAGAGACACACTGTGTTCATGCATTGGAAGTCTCGGCTTCGGAAAGATGGCAATTCTACCCAAATTACTCTACAGGTTTGATGCAGTTCCTATCAAAATCCCAGCAAGGTTTTTTGTAGACACAGACAAGCTGATTCTAAAATTGATATGGAAAGGGACAGGCCCTAGAGTAGCTAGAACAATCTTGACAAAGGAGAACGAAGTGGGAGGCATCACCATATTACTGCAGAGTGACAGTAATCAAGACAGTGTGGTATTGGCAGAGGACTGACTCACAGATCAGTGGAACAGAATAGAAGGCCGAGAAATAGACCATGCAACTATGCCCAACTGATTTTTGACAAAGGTGCAAAAGCAACCTCTGGAGCAATTGGACTTGCGTAGGCAAAAAAATGACCTTGACTCAACCTCACCCCATACAGAAATTACCTGGTGGGAGGCACCTTTTCTAAAGTTAAATCTGCTTGGCCTGCTGTCCAGTGAGCTCTGCCTTTCTCTGTACACTCCTGCCCCTCTGCTGGGAGTCCGGGTATTGGAAGCACCCTTGAGTCTCTGGGTGAAGCCCAGTCAACTGCCCAGCTCCTGGGCAGTGGGGGCGCCCAGCCCTGCTGATGCTGCCGAAAAGCACCCCAGACTCTCTGTCCATCTCCTCCTGCCCTGACACCACAAACAGGAATGGGCTCCTTTGTCGCCAGGCTGCTTGGACTTTACAACCATGTTTTCCTCAAGAACTTGTGATTTGTAGGAGTCATGTGGCTGGAATGGGGGGAGGCCTGGCCACAGGCCCCCTCGGCCCAAACTCTAGAACGTGTGGTCACTGCGACAGGGCCCTGAGACACACTGCACCCTGGAGTAGCCTCTGGGAAGGTCACTGGACACCACCTCTTAGACACAGCTTCTAATGGCTCCTTGGAGCCACCAATGGAAGGACTAGGGCACTTCCAAATCTAACCGCGGAGACGCGGGGTTTCTGCAACCCAGAGACAGCCTTGCAGAGGATGGCCCTGCTTGTTTTTCTTAGATGTTAACTAAGACTTGGGGGTGATGGTGGGCAGAGAGAGCCCTGGGACTATAATCATGGTCCTTTCTGAGATCCTCACTCATCTCAAGAGTTAGCTTACTTTGGTCTCCAAATAAACCCACCCACATGAGCCTGCCTGGGCACCTCAAGAAGAAGGCTCCCTGGAAATGCCCAGCCCTTGTCCATTTGCTCCCTCTGCCACTAAGGATCGTCTGCTTTCCTGACACCTCAGACCACCTCGCTTGCCCTCGGCTCTGTACTGTGGCTCCCACTCCACATTCTGAGATCTGACTTCCCACATTTCTCCTTCAGTGCCCTCCAGGACACAACTTCAGCCTCCTGCTCTGAAGCCAGTGGGATCCCTCCGAGCCCAGCCCAGCCCCTTCTGAGGGAGGAGGCAAGTGGACATGAGCCTGGTACGATTTTTGTTCCGGAAAGCGTGGACCCAGATTGAGTCATGCTGTTCTTCAACCTTCAAGTGAGAGAGAAAGGGTGTGAGAGGGGAGGGAGCAAATCCCTCCCTGAGGAAGTAGGAGGTCTGCCAGGTATGACTCCTGGAAGCAGGTCAGGGAGGAAATGTGGAGAACTGATATGGTACTTAGCAGGAAAGCCTGGAGCAAATTCCATCCCCTTATAGAGTAAGAAATGGAGGGAGAGGAATGGCAGGAGACGGAGAAAAGACATCCTTTGAAAAATAGAAACTTACTCTTTCAAATACTGAAAGGGGTAGGATTACCTTGTGCGCTGAAGCCAGCAGCGGGGTCTGCGTCTCCGGAGCTGGATTCGGTCACCTGCTGATCCATACTTGTAAGCTACAGCAGGAAACATAAGGCATTGAGTGGGTCATCAGTGGGATATGGGGTCATCTGCAGTCTGGAGGGGACATCACAATGGCTTCCAGAAATAAAGCTGACGTTCGAGCTTGTCTTCTAGTAAGAGGTACTGAGAGCCAGGCACTTCGACTTCTGCTACTCGCCCTTAAACCTATGGGATGGGGGGTGTGAGGCTGAAGACCCCCTCACCAAGGCCCAAACTGGTTTCTCTGACCCTTGGCGATCAGAGTGCTGCTCACTGCCGGAGAGCCCACCATGGCCAGGTACCCTCTGAGCCCACTCACCTTCCACTTATGGGCCCTGTTAGGGATGGACAGGCCACACAGGATCCTCCAGCATCACCGGAGAAGGCAGGTCAGGCCCTGCCCTCACTTCCAACCCCCTCCCCTCAACCGCTCTCCTCCCTGCTTCTACTCCAGAAGAATAAGGCCCCGGGGGGACAGTCATGAGACTTGTTGTAATACTTTGGGCCAGCGCAGTTTGGACACAGGGTGGGCATTTAATAAATATTCTTGGCCTCAATGAGCTCCCAAACTCGCTCAGAGCTTGCATCTGCTGTCTCTTCCCTTTTGCCTTTTGCGGGTGGGATCAAGGGGATGCTCCGGAGGCCACCCCCACCCCCCACTCCCTGCCTGAGCTCGGGCTCAGGGTCAGGTCCACATGGGGTAAGTGCCAGCTTGAAAGCGCCCCCAAGGCGCGGAGGAGCACACTGAGGCCGTTTGGTCCTGGTGGAGTGGGTGAAGCTCACATTGTGTGGGGCAGTCACCACACTTGCGCAGCTTTCTTTTTGAATGGCTCATTCTGCCCAGAGGGGCTTCCGGGAGTCTGAGGGGGGAGGACCAGGCCTCCCTGCTGGCCAGGCATGGGGCGCATCTGCTCTGCGCCTGCCTGCCGGCTCTCTGCTCGGCAGGGGCCCGCCCTTGGCGAGCACATCTGCTCCATCGCGGCTCTAGGGACAACGGCCCCCACAGGCCGTGTGCCCGCCTGTGATGAACACTGTACACACCAGCCCCTGTGCTATCTCAGAAACGATTTCCGGATCCTTGTGTTATTTCAGAATCGCTTTGGGGACACGCTTGCAAATAATGAGCTCTGGGGGACGCCGGGGAAGGTGAGGCGGGCCCCTGCGGCGTGGTCCGATTCCAGCTCAGGTAATTACATTTCTGCCTCCCTGGTCCTCGGCACTTCAATCAGACAGCTGAGAGTCTTCATCTCCCCGCTTCCAACCAGGCGGCTGCCCCAGTGCCGGGCTGCGGGCCTCCCTCCACCCTCCACCGCAGAGGGGGCAAGCCAGCCCAGCCGGGGCTGCGCGGGTGGGGGGCGAGAACTGCGCGGGCGGGCGCAGAAGCCCCCGCGCTGCCTAAATGTCTCCTCTGATCCCAGTTAGCCGCTTTAGAATAACACCGTCCACGCCGGCGCTCCGGGTCAGGGGGAGGGAATGGGGGAGGGGGATTCTCGCGCCATCAGCACTCGCCTTCCCGGTCACTGTAATAACTATACCCAATAACCCATGTTGGAAATCTGTCAAGAATCTTCTGCTAAATCACACACAAAAAGAACAACGCCCTAAAGGTTTGTTTCCTTCCATAACTCCTCCTGTATCTAACCTTCTATTTGGCTCTATTTTTTTTCTTTGCAGGGGTGGGTGGCAACTTCGGGACCTGCTGCCTGAAAAAAAAGCTGCTGGTAATAAAGAAATATAAATAAAACAAGAGAAATAAAATACACAGTGGGACAAGGTCGGGGGGAAATTGGATTTGTTTCATATTTCACAGAAGCGTCACTGGCTTCCTTCTGGCTCCCGGTCAAATTTATTTCCACGAGGAGACAGTTCCAGGGAGCACATCTGTCACCTCTCTCAAGCAGGTGTCAAGGGTTTAATTTGAATTTGGCCTTCCCTGATGTCCAAAGCCACCTTGCCACACTAAAGCTGTGGGGCAAATAGCTGTTCAGTTCACACAGCATTTTCGATTAAATATGAAGGCAGTGGAAAAAGGTGGAGAAGAAATATATTTGTGGCATGGAATTTCAGTTGAAATTTGAGTTTAGCAGTAAAGGCCCAAACACAGCTCTTGCAGGAGAGGGGCTGAGAGGGCTATTGAGAGGAGAGGCCCATGTCTAACAATGCGGGACACTCAAAGGCCTGCATTTATTTATTCCCAGATACGCTGTTTTGACCAGTTACTGTAATTAAAAAGTCAATTGGCATTTAGGCAAATAAGCCACATTCCCCTCATCCCCCTTTCTTTTAGGAAGCTCTGTGGCGAGGACACTGGCATGGAAATTCTGCCCTATTTCTGTAATGAGTTTCCCACTCCCGGGTTAGGTCAACCAGTTAGTACCAGATTTACAAAGAGCTGTTCTTCGGGGCTGTTATCAGCAATCATGGAAAATGTGTATTAAGATTTTAGGCTAGTGTCCCAAGGCAATCTTTGAAGATACTTCGCTTACAGATTTGAAAATGTAAAGGTCATTTTGTTTGAAAATATAAATAATAATTTTAGGACTTAGGATTGGTCACACCTGTCATGTCCATTGCCTTTCTCACGGTTTCTAGTCTCATGGCTCAGGTGTCCCTCCCCCCCACCATATTGCCACCAAAATTCTAAAGCACCGCTGGGTTACGTCAACCCCAAATGCCACACTCTTCAAAGGCACCTCTATAGTTTGACATCCAAGGTCAGAAAGTCTCTACCCAAATGATTTCAGGGAACCCCTTCATGTACCTTAAGCTCCCACAACCAGGCTCCACCCTTCCCCCATCCCAGGTGCCTTTGCCCAGGCTGTATCCCCCACGATGATCTTCTGCTCTGTTCACACGCCCCAATCCCACCCAAACTGTCAAGCCTGTTTTTCCTCTGAAGCCCCAAAGAAGCTTATTTGTCCCTGTCCTGTCACCACATGGATCTCTCAGTTCCACGAGGAGGGGATTCTGTCCAGTTCATGGTTATCTATATAGCATGGAGTACTGCACAGTCTTATGTGGTCCGTGGAACATAAGCTTGTCATCCTCACTGGAATATCAAACTGGCAGATTCTCAATAACTTCCCTGCTATAGACAGAAATTCACTCCTTTGCATCTCGCCCAAAAGTTACAGTCTCGAGCCATGGGAAAGAGAATGACATTGCAAACGAAGTCAGAATGGACCACACCTGGGGCCAGTCCATGCAGAGGAATGGGTCAAAAGAATGGGCTCAGTCAAGGGGTGCTCTTTCTTCCCGCATTAAAAATCCTTCCAAATGAGCAGCACCCTCTGCCCCTGTACAGAGCCCAAACAGTGCATGCTTTGCTTTTCTGTCAGTCTGTCTTCCTTTCTTTATCCAAACAAGTGCGGATAGGCAATTTATATGCCATTTGTCCTAGTAAGGGGAACTCATTAACCTCCTCCTCGCCCAGGGAGAAGGGGTCGTGCTGTAAAGGGGGCGGCTTCTTGCTATTGGGTCAGGCGGGAGGGCCGCCCCGGGGAGGGGGCAGCTGGCGGGCGCAGCCTTCCCTCTGTGGATGGAATGGGTCTCATTGACTTGCGACTCCCAGAGGCGTCTGCAGAACTGAACAGTGCTGCTAGACCACGGAGTCAAAGAGACTGAGCCCGGCAAGGCACAGGCTGCCTCTCGAAGGGGAGGGCTGCAGGGGCCCTCCATCACCAGATGCTGCCCCCTCCCAGACCGGCGGCCCAAGAGAAAGTCCACATGGACGGACACGCTCGCCTCCACTGGTCGTCCACAGATAATGTCAGTGCAGGCACTGGTAAGCTCGGAGTTTCTGAGCCAACAAAGCTAATACGAGACAGGCCTTTGCCCTTAAGGGTTTTCTCACCAAAATTCTGTGAAAGAAATCTCCATTGAGAGAATGCCCAATAGTTTTGGAGAATGGTATCATAGTGGTCTTAGAACCAGTATTATCATCCTCTGATATATTCTATTTCTCAGAAAAAAAGAGTAAAATAGAGACAAAACACTCGGTATCCCTCTAGTGTGCAAGTGTGGGGTTGTGCATCAAATGTCACACCCATATCCAGAGGCCACTTTCCAGCATTCAGGGTCCTTGAAAGGCTCCACGTTCTGATCATCACTGGGGGGCTCTCATTGTCAGGATCCAGAAGCAAAGGGTTCTGAGGTGGGCAGCACCCAGTCCTGACGCTCTCCACAGGGTGGTGCACACAGAATCCTGAATCTTTCCACTGCATTCTCTCTTCTGGAAACAGGAGTAACAGCTTACCAAAGGGAGGATGGAGAGGCAGGCCGTAGTCGGTACCCTGCACAGAGCTGGAATTCTGCGACGGCAGCAAGCAGGGCTGCCACGCGGAGGGGGATGTGGCTGAGTTCCCTCCTCTCCCCAAGGCGGCCAGAGAATCACACACCCTTGTGGGCTTATCTGCCCCACTGCCTGGTGCCCCTGCTGGTTACAGGGTACAGCTGCCCATCTGCACACTCAGTCACCCTCCCCCTCCTGCCTTCCAGGGACTTCCCTCCCCTGCCCTGGGTCAGCTTGCCCCACCCTCTGGGCTCTGTCCTTTCCCTTGGTAACACCCTTGCACCCTACACCCACACTCCCCTGTAACTACCTCCTGTTTCTCCTCTTTGCCAAGCATCTTGCATAGTTATCTACTCCCGTTCCCAAAGTGATCCCCTGGAGCAGAAGCAGCCGCAGCAGCAGGAGCTGGGACTTTGGTAGGAATGCAAATTCTTAGCAGCCCCCTATCCCCAACTACTGACTCAGGAACTCTGGGGGTGGGCCCAGCTATCTGTATTTGATTGACAAGCCCTCTGGGCAATCAGGATGCCCACTGCAGTCCCAAGACCACTGGTCCACACCCCTGCTACACCTCCTCACATCCATCCCCTCCTCTATCCAGTGTAATCTGGCTCCTGCCCCATTGCAGCCGCTCCTGCAAGGTCACCAGCAGCCCCTCAATGGTGAGCCAGGAGGATGGGGGTCAGCCCTTCACAGCCTCTGGGCAGCACTTGGACCATCCCTTCCTCTCTGAACCTCTGGTTTCTGCGAGTCCAGGCTCTCTGGAGCCCCCTCTGTCTGCTCTGCAGCCTGTCCTGGGGGCACCTTCCTCTAGCACCCTGCAGTGCTGTCATTCCACAGGGCTCTCCCTCTCCTTGGGCCCCCACCCCCTTTCGGTTTCCCAGGCTTCAGTGGCTACCCCTGTGGCTAACCCTGATCTCTCTAAGGCCCCAACTATGGATCCTATTGTCCCGTGGACACTGGCTTGGATGTTCTGATGACCCTGGAATCCAACAAACCAAACCAAGCCTGTCACCTCCCTCCACATCACACTCATCTCAAACTCATCTGAGTGGCCTTCCGTGCTCTCCTCCCTCCGAGCCTTTGCACAGGCTGTTCCCTCTCCCAGGAGCTCCCAGCCCCTCCTCCCCCAACCTTGCCCACCTGCTGCCCACTCAGCCTGAGCCCTCAGCTCACAGAGGCTCCCTGGACCCCCAAACATGGACCAGGCACCCCTGCCCAGTGCCCCGCAGTGCGCCGGGCTCCCCTCAGAGTGCTTATGATGTTGCCACAGGAAGCGGTTTCCACTGATAATAATGAGTTATTGATAGTTCAATTTCCACTGATAATATTGATTTGAATTATTTTTATCATAAAGAGAAAGATAAACCACTTCAGGAAAGCGGAATTCTCTCCTCAGCTTTAAAAAAAAAATTTAAGAGAATTTCAGTTATTATGAGTTTAGAAATGAGATTACACAGCCACACTCTTGCCTCTGCGCTAAGAAATTCCTCCCTCACAGGCAGTTCCCACACATCTGCTTCTACTAGGGACAGAGGAAAGGCCAGGAGTCCTTGGCCGAGTGCCCTTCTGTCATCCACAGCCCGATGAGCCAGCCCAGGACATTTCAGGGCGAGAGCAGGCCGTGAAGGAAGAACCTGAGGCTGAGGGGGCCAGTCCCACGGCTGCTCAGGCACCGTTCGCCTGTGCCAGGGTGGGCTGGGGGTGGGTGGGCTCCTGATGGGCGCTGAGCAGTCCCACCCAAGTGACCCCCAAGGCGAATCCCTGTTGCAAAGAATTCTTTCTACGATGCGTTGAGTCCAGCAGTGTCTAAATGTGCCGCTAGGCGACAGGCAGGCGCGTCTTGCCTTCTCTTCCCTTCCCACAATCACCCAGCTTGCAGGATGTGATCACCCTTGTAGATGCCATTGTCTCTAGAGGTTTCTGGAGGCTGAGTCCCAACAGGCAACACGTAAACCGTTTCTCTACCCACAGAGGTTCCTTAGAGCCAGGACCTCCTCAGGGGGTGGCTGGGAGAAGGACAGGCTCTGCCGCCTGGCCTACTGGCCACGTGGGCCCTCAATCTCAGAGGGGCAGTGAGGAGGGCACAGGGCGGCATTGGAAGGACTGGCCAGGTCTGAGGCCTGCACCACTTCTTGGTGGTGGTCTCAGGAGAGGGTGCAGGTCAGGAGAGCTCCATGGCTAGAGCCCTTCGATATTCAATAAATGCAACGATGACGAAGATGATAATACCATGAAAAGGGCAAGTGACTTTTGCTGAATCAGAGCCCCACTACGTGCTGAGTCCTCTGCTGGGTCCATTACAAACATCCGTCCATCCTATGTGCTTGGTACTATTATGAGCCCCATTTTACAGATGAGGAAACTGAGGGTCCACCCACATATCCTGAGTGCACACCTGCTATGGGTCAGGCACCATGAGGTTCTGGGAGTGCCTGGCACACCGGCTCAGAGAAGGCCCTCCACTCCAGGTGGCTCGGGCACCTCCCTGGCCAGTAGACACCAGGCCTTGGGCAGGACCTGGGATCCAGAACTGCTTTTGCACCTCCCAGAAGACAGCGACAGTAGCATGTAGTCAAGACAGGTGGGAGTCCCCTGGGTACTCGGTTCATGACCAGAGCTCCACCCTGGGGGCCTCTGCCCATGGGTTAAACCTGTGCCAGCAACTTCTGTGCTGTGTCCCCAGACACACCAGCCAGCGTCAAGCGCAGACGCATCTGGGAAGAGCCAAGGGGAAAAAGCACAAATGTTGAGGTTGGAATCCTGGGCCGGGGTTGGGATCTCTGCAGGTTCTGCTCTCTGAGCCTGCCGCCTCCTCTCCACCACAAGGCTAATGAGACCGACACCCCCAGGTTTGCTGAAAGGCTGAGAGAGATACAAATGCAGGCAGTAGGCTCGGTACAAGCCGGGGCCGGGCCTTTCTCACCTGGCTGGCTGGGGTCGGGCCCACCACGGCCTCGTAGGGCGGGGGGAGCTCGGCGGGGTAGAGCAGGCCAGGGCTGTTGATGGCAACATCATACAGAGTGCTGAACGGAGAGGGAGCAAAGTCCAGGTGGAGGCCCCTGAAAAGGCAGAATCATCGAATTGTCACTCCCTGGGGAAGGAGCCTGAGCTGTCTGTCGCCATTTCTCTCGAAGCAATCCCAACATGTCTTGTCAGGGTTTCCCCTCACTGAATACTCACTGTGTTTGTGAAATAAAAGCCTAATTCGCCAGGCAGTTTTAACTTTTGTTTTCTTCTGGAACGATATTGATATATTCAATAAACTCTGTGGCCCTGTCCATTCAAATTAAAATAATCATACAGCTGATTAAATCTTTAATTAAATTTTACATGTTATATTAATGACCATAACTTGATAGTGGTTTTGTGTTGCCTGAGAACATAAAAGAGCTGCTCTTGTCTGGCTGGGTTTTCTTTTTTGCTGCCCAGCAATGACATCAATAGAAACGTTCTATGTCTAAGCCGCCTCTTCTTTCTCTGCTCATCCTCTGCTCCCTAGTCAAACAAGCCTTCTTGCATGTGCCCTCCTCTGCTCCACTGAACATGAGCACGGCCGCTGCGCCTCCACCTCCCAAAGGCTGCTTCCTAGCCTCCTGTCTTCAGCACCCAGCGTGGAGACATCAAAGGAAAGACCCACCTGTGGGCCTCGGCCATGGGCGTGCAGGTGTACTCTGGAGGGTAGTAGGGGGGAGGGGGCAGCGGGGGCACGAACTCATCGAAGTCCAGGGTCTGGTGGAGGACAGTGCCGTGGGGGGTCACGCAGGCAGGGCTGGCGGAATGCGCCCTTTGTGGAAGGAACTGGAAAACAGAGAGATTCAGAGTTACTGGGGACATCTTGTGTGGTTTGTGTCTAATTAAGCTAATTACACATAAGCTTTAATGATCCATTTGGAACTTATGTAATTTAAACTGTCAAGCCGTGACGGCTAAACACACATTTTAAAACGATGGCTCCAGGAGGAACGCCTCGCCTCCGAAGCCTCATTATGCTTTGTTTCCCACGCTGTTACGTAGAATGCCTCTTTCCTGAGGAAAAATAGTCTGAGAAGTCTTTAATTCTGTCGCTACCACTAAGCCTGTCTCTTCCGATTATACCACTCAAAGCCTCTGTCAAAGGGGTGCCTGACGTCCACGGGTTAAGACAGCTCTTCCTGAAGTTCGATCAGAAGAAAACACCAGACCCTCAAGATGCTCCCTCCCAAACTCCAACAGTGAAATAAATTTGGGAAATGCCATGTATTGTACTGCATTTCTGGAGCGCTGTAATGTACATTAGAGTGTTAAAGGCCCTGAGAAGGCCTGCACGAAAATATCCATTAAACCGTTTAACCCATTAATGGAACATTTCTCAAATATTTCATTATGGGTCCCTTTGGACACATAGTATCTATTAATATTTTGTAGTTCTAGGGAATTCACACACTTTGTAAAACACTGCTCTAAGGGAAAAGAATCCTTCAAGAGCTCCAGAACATTCTGTGGGGCAACCTTAAAACTGAGATGCTGCTTGAGCAAATTGAGGTAAAATCACTCAAACAAAATGAACGCTGTCTCTGCCTCATTTTCCGTTTCTGCCCATGGGAATCACCGATCAGTAACTGCTCCTCTTTCCACCCTCTGGTCACTGCTCCCCAGAGGTTACCTGTGGCGCAGAGATGCCTGAGACATTGCTCCAGTTCCAATCAACACCCCACTGTGAGCCCCAGATCTGCCCTCTGGGACCTCCCACTGCATGGGGGGTCGGGGTTGGGGAGCCAAGGACCCAGAGTCAACTGTATATGGCCAAGTAAGAACAGTTCCATCAGGAAACGATGGACTCTCCAAGCCCTGTGTGGAACCTGGGCTCTACAAGGGGTTAATGAAGAAGCTAACATCTGAATGGGCCTGAAACATTGGTAGGATTTCAAGAGGTGAGGAGTAGGAAGGTCTCCAGGCTCAAGAAGAACAGGTGAAGTAGTGAAAGACGTATTTAAGGAAAGCAAATTTAGATAAGGCTCTAAAAGTTAATTCCTAATTCTGGGGCACTGGGGAGCCCCTGGAGCTGCCTACAGTGCTATAAAGCTATGTGGTAGGAAATGCCTACTGGCAGCAGTGGGTAGGGTGGCCTGGAGTTGATAGAGGCTGGGATGGTAGAACGCTTTTGCACAAGTACGGGTGAGGTCACGATCTGAATACTGTCAAATGATATGACATTAGCATGCTCTAGACTAATGGAGAAGGAATGGTGGCCATGTCTAAACATGTACCACATCAGACTACAAATGGCTCCTGTGGGTCTTGTTCACACACAGAGCACGTTCCTCGCCTCTCCAGCCGATCTGACCCCTGGCTTTGTTTGTTTAATTGTCTGAAATAGAGGTGAATCAGTGGCTCTGAGCAGGGCAAACGTGCGTCTGCCGTCCTCCACCTTGGACAGCTGTGAGCCCTGATGTTTACTGCGCAGAGCTGAGCAGTAGGACGAGGCCGAATGTCCTTGAGGTCTAACCGAAAAATGTTTTGAACTAATCTCTATCAGAAATTAGAAAAATCAGTAATATACTCAAGTATGAGATGCAAAGGCAAAACCTTTTCCTATGAAAGGTACAATTCCATCAGGAATGAAAACAACAAGCATTTTCACAGAGAGGTGAGGAGTGCCAGATGATCCTATTAGCAGGTTTACAGGAATAAAGGCTGCCACGTGCCAGAGGCTTTTCAAAGGGTAAACGGCAGGCTCCGCTTCTGCTGTAACTCCAGATCGCCTTTCCAGGGGTGTGTTGGCCACATCTTTGTAGAAGCGTCTCAGACTCAGTTCATTTGAAACTGAGCGTCTAACCCTAGCACCTCAGCCTCCGCAATAGGAAGCCTGCATGTCACGCGTGACATCTCCGCCCACCTCCCATCAGTATCTGTCAAATGAGGCAGGGTCTCTCTGGAAGCCCAAGGTCACCAGCTCTGTACTCTGCTCTGAGGTGGCAGGGCTGAAAGTCTGCAAACCACATTTCCCAGACTCCTTTGCAGCTGCCTTCGGTTAGGTTCTGCCAACAGGGGGGCGCCAGAGGGAGCCTGGGGGGCAGGAGGCCAGGAGAAGGGAGTTCCTGCTATCCTCCTCCTTCCCCACTCCTTCCCTTCTTCTCCCAGCTCTAAAGGGTGGTTATTCGGCTCTGCTCCTTCAGCCTTCCCTCCACATCTGGGTAACCAGCTCCCCGTGTTAACTGCTGGAATCCCGAGGGCGAGTTCTTTTCCTGCCTGGGCCCTGACCATTGGAGTCCATCTGTGTCTTATCCACCTCTGTATTCCCTGGGCCTAGTCTGGTGCTCTGAGCACAGCAGGTGCTCAGTGAACTTCGCTCAGCAGATGAGCCAACACCTCGCTGTGCTGCCTCCATGCCGCCCCTGTTCATCTCCTCCCTGCAGGAGCATCTAACGTGTCTCTCTGCCTTCGTCTTCTTCCTCTTGAATTCAGTCTCCATTCTGCTGGCAGAGCTATTTTTAAGCCAATCTGATGAGGTCACTCCTGTTTAAAACTCTTTTAGGAGACCTCTGCTCCCTGAACCCCATGTAGTTTCCAGCTTCTCTATCCACTAACCAACTGGTGCCCCAAACTCCTGCTCCCGTTCTTTGAACCAACTCCAAATAGCAAACACTGTTCACTCTCTCTTCCAGGATCCCCACCTCCCTCTCACATGGCAACCTCCCAGTCATCCCTCAGGACCTGGCAGAAATGCCCACTGGCCAGCCTACCCCCTCCCTGCGCCCCACCACGCCACATGCTCCGCAGCCTCATGTCTACCCATTTATCGCCAGGCATAAGCCTGAGCCTGCACCTGGCTGTGGTGGGTAGAAACTGGGCTGTGAATCGTCACTTCTTCCCCAGGTGGTTCTGCTGGCCTTGGGCCATCTGTAGAAGCCCCATTTGATCCGTGTGGTGACAAAGGTACACCTGTGCCTGGCAAGTGGAGTGACATTGGTACCCAGCTGAGGTGTTCACACACCTGATGTGAGCATCATTATTGCCCAGTCCTTGTCATCCACAAAAGAGGAGTTTGCATTTTAGCCCCTGCTGGAGAGAAGCCCCTTCTCCTGTGTCTGCTGTGGAGAGAGGGAATCCCAACGTGGGCACGTGCCGTCCTTGGATCGTGGCAGGATTATTACCACAGGAGAAGTCTGCACTCCAGACCCTGGAGTGACGCCCGAGGCACCCACTGCTCTCTGGTCCTGCCACCACCCCCAGGTGAGTTTCATGCCTACCCAGGGCTGCAGGGGTGCATTCTCAAACAGGTTAAGACCAGTTTTAGTTACTACTGTAATTCATAACAAAATATGAATGCAGACAAGAAAACCTACTTGTTCTATGAGTTGAATGCTTCAGAAAGACTCGATAAAGGAGAGCAGCCAAGCAGAAACTGCTGCCAAGTTAGGTCCTGGCAAGGCAGTTGTAAGGGAGTGGAGAAGAATCATAAAACATCTAGAGGGGTTCCGCACTGAGATCACTTCATGCACCTCACTCCAATTAAAAGGGGCTGAATCTGGAAATCATAGATGGTGCGATTTCCATGAAGTTTATGCAAGAAATACAACCTGATCCACCAATAGACCTGTAATCAAAGAGAAGATCGTGGCCCCAAGTCAAAAGACTGGGGGACAAATGCTCATTTGCATATTTAAAGTCAAAATACAATGTTTATGGTATGTATGCATCATTTTTATGATTGTCTCTAGCTGTCTAGATTAATCAGACACCTGTGGGTCCCAGTCTTATAGATAAGTAGCACCTACCACCCAGGGATGGTTCTGTTGAACTCAGACCTCAAGGAAGGTCTCTGTGGGTCCAGGGAGCGCCAGCCTCAGTGGGGAGCTGGGCCGGCACTGGGCTAAACTGGAGAGGTGAAGATACTGGTGAACTAGAGCGATTCTGGGGCTCCTGGGGGTGGTGTTACATCCCTCCCTGACCGCCGGCACCCCTTACTAGCTCCACGGGCAAGCCCAGTTACCTGTCTGTGAGAGGTGCAGGGCCCTATCAGCACTTCTGAAGGAGCTCTGCTTTACAAGGCATCCAACTAGAGCAGAGAACACAAACGACAACAACAAAAGATGAGTTAACCAGCAAGTGCCTAATGGAGACGCATGTAATAGCACATGACGTCCCTTAGGCTAACATGGGTGGCAATAGAGCAAGTGGGGAGGAAAACAGGTATATGGAAAATTGAGATTACGCTTGAGAAATAAAACTAAAAATATGAGATGATAGACACTTTGGAGGTAAAAGCATTCTCCACTAAACAAAATCAATAAACTGAATTTCATAATCAGATTGTCTTTTGCCACTATTGCTGCACATATTAGAGTAATTTGGCTTCATAAATTCTGACAATAGGCATCACACTTTACATCTCATGTATACAGGCAGTCATTATGAGAGTTCCAAAAACTGTTAATTATCCCAAAATGCGGATCCACAGAGATAAGAAAGGAACTCTGGGTTCTTTCCCTGCCAGGCCACGGCTTTGGCTGTAAGTCACAGTCTGCTGTCTGGAGTGCCCGTGGTCTTTCTTACATAAACTACACCTGGAAGACATTGTCTAACTTTCCATTTCTGTGTTTTTAAGGTGGAGCTAGAACTTAAAGGTACTTGTGAAGTAACGTGTGTGCAGAAACCCCCTGGATTTTGTTCAGTTTTTATCCCAATCCCTTATCATTCTCTCACCCACATCTAAATTGACAGCAATATATCTAGTGACCCTCCTTCACTGAATCTTTCCAAGGTACTCAGTTTTGTTGTAACAGAAACAATTATCTTTTCATACTCACATTTCATTGGTACTAGAATATGCCCTGACAATCCCAATACCACTGGCATAAACTGGTTTGGGGATAAATACAACTGTCCCTTGCAAAGCTTATGACCCCACTGCTGGGAGCAGAAATGGTGCACGGGAGAACTGCGGAGGCCGCCAGCGGGGGACTGTGCTGTGGGAGCAGGCAGCGCAGCTCACAGGCAGAGGGAGAACCAGGGCTCTCGGGCTGGTTGCTTGAGTACAGGTTGGTTAAGAGAGCTGTAACTGTATGCACAAGGAGCTTACTATAGCACCACTTACAGACGCATAAACAAAACCAAAATCAAAAACGAGAAACAACTCAAGTATCCACAGAGAAATGGCCAAATAATTGACGTTACATCATATTATAGATCAGTGCAGATATTAAAACATCTTTCCATATATTGACTTAGATGGGTGTCCATGATTGTTTCAGGTTATAAAATCAAGTTGTGGAGTAATATGAACGGTGTGATCCCATTTTGGCAAAAAAGAAGGAAGAAATGAAGGAAGAAAGGGAAGGAAGGAGGGTGGGAAAGAGGGAGGGAGGAAAAAAGGAAGATAGACTTATATATGTTTATATGAGAAATCAAGAAAGAAACAGAAGTATTCACGGCAAAGTTTCCTCAGGAGAATGGAGTGGGAGAAGGGAGATTATTAACTTTTTCTTTATATACCTCTACATTTTACTTGTTTCAATTATCATGTATTGCTTCTTTAATTAAAGAGTCTAACGAAATGAAGTAAGAAAATTAAAGTCAATTACATCTCAACAAAGCTGGAAAAAAAAAAGAAGACACTTACAAAAAATTAAAAAGAGCTACGAAGACATCCTCATGAACGACTCAGTTCTCGGTTCCATCCCTCAGGGCGTAAACACAACCCCCTCAGGCTGCCCCACTTCTCCTTCTCCAAGGGCGCAGCCTGTGTGGCCAGCCGGGCCCAGCCTCTGACCCACATGGTAAAAGCTGACCTCCACGTGGCCACCACGGTTTTCCAAAGCCCATTCACACATATTATTTGATTCGTTCTCTCAGCACCCCTGTGAGGACAGCAGGGCATCAACAGTCTTATTTAGAGCAGAGGAAACCAGGACAAATAGGCAGTGATGTGCCCAAGGTCATGTGCTGGTCCCACAAGCGCTGTGGTCATATGCCTCCATTTCCCTCTTGCCTCCCTCGTGGCTCTGGGCCATGCAGTCAGCGTAGTCAGGGCCTTAGAAGGAGAGCAGAGCCTTGCCCGCTCCGTAGCCCATGGTCACAAAGGGAGAAGGACTCACCAGCGGGAAACTCATCTATTTCTATTTCCAAGCCAGGCGTTTGAAGTAAACTTACCCACAAAGTACTCAGCGATGAAATAGCCAGGGGTTCTGATGGCAGCTGTTATCATAGCAACAATACTTTACTTCCATATAGTGCTTTACAGCTGACAAAGTACATCAAGGACCACTGCATTCATGTCATTGCTGCAATGTCCCAATAACAAACTGATATTCCCTCCACGTTTAAGAATCAAAATGGGTCATGCTTACTGAGTGCTCCCCAGGGAACCCATTAGATCCATTTCCTAAGTACGGAAACTGAGGATCAGGGAGTTTCAGTGATGTATCCAGAGTCACCTGCTTCATATACCTGACTTCAGGCCCACGACTCCAGGCCTGCTCACGTTCCACAGTAGAATGACCCTGCACGTTATGTTATAATTGATTATGCTACTATAGCTCTGATATACTTCATTCTTATTTAGTTGGTAATTTTCATTTAAATTCTTAAAACTAGGGAACACAAACTTTTAGCATTTACAGCCCTTTGGTTCTGTTAGTTTGGTCAGATTGGTGTGATATTTACAGATCAATAGTAAAATCTGCAGAGGTGAGTAGAACCCCATGGTACTTAACCTTTCCTTTATACCACATGCCGGAGAAAATCACCAACATGAGGCCTCAATGAACAAGGCCACAAGTTCATCGCTGCTGAATAACTGCTTAATTAGGTACCTTTCCGAAAACTGCAACCTCTCGGAAAGGTCAGCCCAGCTGTGACAGCTGTGTGGATATATACTGGGAGAAAGAGGCTGCACGTTGCATACGATTAGAGCCAATGAATTTTTAACATCTTGGTAATATGCTTTCTGGCCCTGTATCTTGATTAACTGATGTACTGCCATAGGGCGGATGAGAAAGAACAAATAAAACAACCTACTACAAGAATAACTTGCCTTTTCTTTCATGAGTTGCATAAAACATTGGAGAGGAGGTGGCAGGGGTCTCGAAGGGGCAAGGGGAGAGAGAGAAAGAGGGAGGATTCCTACACTTAGCATTGAAGCACAGTATCTTTCCATCAATTTCTCTTTATTGTACTGACTTTACTGGTAACATAGTGAACAGTGGGCTGTGTTCCAGTCACGTCAGAATAACGAAGAGCCTTCATTATTTATTAAACATGTATTAATAATTGTGTGACCCTTGCTCCTGGTCTCATTGCTCCCCTCCGGGAGCAGCAGTTTTTCTTCTCTAAGATCCTGGCCAGACAGTCAAGTGATGGCCAGCCAATGACCTGCTACTGGATTTTGAGCTCAGGGTTAATTAGCAAATCTACAAAGCACAGATTAGCAGTTTTTCTAAACAAACTTCCTTTATTAAAAGTGAATTCTGAAGCCTGAGGAAGCACCTGGCTCTGGAGATGCTGGGCCTACAGGATGTCTAAGGCTGCAGGATCATCACTAAAATAACTCAGGGAACACACCAGGGGCTATCTAGAGGGACATGACAGTGGCTGGACTCTGTCAACAAGGAGCTCCAACAATACCTAAAATAAACAAAGTAATGGCACCAAATGTGTGGGTTCTCTGTCTTCCAGAGGGCACCATGAGGTGACCTCCAAGGATCTCCAAGCACCACAGGCCTGTCAGGGCCAACTGTTCCAGTTGGAAGCAAGAAACGTCCATCCTACATTGGTTTCAAATTGGCTGGAGGAGCAGGAGATCAGGACCACCATTCTGAGTGTGCTTGGTAAGGAAGGGGGCCACTCACCATCTGCAGGACGTCAGAGGAGACCATCTGCATGCAGCACATGGCTGTGGCCAACGCACACACGATGGTGGAGAGGACGTTGAGGGCGCACACGCTGAAGAGGAGATCCTGTGAGAAAAGAAGCAGGAGAAGGTCAGCCCCTTCTTGGCAACCCAGGTGGCAGAATCCTTAGCATTTCTGTGAAGGGCTAGAATGAGTATGGTCAATTGTCATCCACTTCATGCAGATTTTGTTTTGTGGGTTTTTTTTTTCCATAATCAAAACTGGCCTTTAATATAGAACACTTGTTTATTCTTCTACAATGCTGATCAAATTATTCTTAGAAACTAAATGGTGTATTTTACAATTTTGATGATTATTAGGTAGTCACTGTCTAAGAAAATCTTGAAATCACCAACATTTAAGTAGGTGGGCAATCTTTATCAATTATAAAATGTAACCCAAAATTTTGATAAGTATTTAACAAAATGCCAATTTTTTAAATTAAACTTTTTATCTTGAGATAACTGTAGACTTACATGCAGTTCTAAGAAATAATACCAAGAGATCCTGTGTACCCTTTACTCAGTTTCCCCCATGGTAGCATCTTGGAAAACTATAGCACAATATCATAACCAGGATTGACAATGATATCGTCAAGATACAGAACATTCCCATCGCCACAAGGGTCCCCCCGACCCATGTTGATATTTTATAGACACACCCACCTCTCTCTCCCTGCTTCCCACTCAATACCCCTTCCCCAACCCCTGTCAACCATTAGTCTGGTCTCCATTTTGTCATCTCAACAAGGGTATACAAGTGCAATCAAATAGCATGTAACCTTTCAGAATTGGCTCTTTTCACTCAGTATAATTCCTTCAAGATTCATCCAAGTTGCTGTACGTATCAATAGTTCATTCCTTTTTATTGCTAAGTAGTATTTCATGGTATGGATGTACCACAGTTTGTTTAATCATTCACCAGTTGAGGAATATCTGGGTTGTTCTCAGTTTTTGGCTGCTACAAATAAAGCTGCCATGAACATTTGTGTACAGGTCTTGTGTGAACAAAAGTTTTTATTTCTCTGGGATAAATATCCAAGAGTACAATTGCTAGGTCACATGATAATTGAATGTTTAATTTTATAAGAAACTGCCAAATTGTCTTCCAGAGTGGCTGAACCATTCTACATTCCCACCAGCAAGGTATGAATGATCCAGTTTCTCTGCATCCTTGCAAGCATTTCGTATCACTATTTTTATTTTAGCCATTCTGATTGATAGGTGTGTAATGATTGTGGTTTTAATTTGCATTTTCCTGATGGCTAATGATGTTGAACATCTTCTCATGTGCTCATTTGCCATCTGTAGATCCTCTTTGGTAAAGTGTCTGTTCATATCTTTTGCCAATTTTAGAACTGGATTGTTTGCTTTTTTATTGAGTTTTGAGAGTTCTTTTTGCATTCTAGATTCTAGTCCAGATATATGGTTTACAAATATTTGTTCCCAGTCTGTAGCTTGTTTTTTCATCTTCTTCACGTAAGTTTTTACAGAACAAAAATTTCTAATGTTCATGAGGTCCAACTCATGAATTTTTGCTTTTACGGATCACGCTTTTGGTGTCAAGTCTAAGAACTCTTTGTCTAGCCCTAGATTGTGAAGATTTTCTCCTATTTTTTTCCTAAAAGTTTTTACAGTTTTACAATTTACATTTAAGTCTTTGCTCCAATATGAGTTAATTTTTGAATAAGGTGTGAGGTTTAGGTTGAGGTTACTTTTGTGTTTTTACTTTCAATCTCTACATGTTCATTGCTAGTATACAGAAATGTGGTTTATATTTGTATATTTATCTGGTATCCTGCAATCTTGAGATTTTCTATGTAGACAGGCCATCTACAAATGTTTTATTTCTTCCTTTCCAATTTGTATGTCTTTTATTTCTTCTTCTTGTTTTATAGCACCAGCTAGAATTTTGAGTATTATGAATAAGAGTAAGATGAATAAAATGGTGAGAGCAGATATCTTTTCCTTGGGGTCTATCTCAAAGAATACACCTCATGGAGTTTTAACTGTCCAAGTACAAGTAATTCTTCTTTAGGAAATTTACTCTCCAATCCATGCCAGAAAAAGAAAAAAATAACCACGATTCACAAAAATGACCACAAAGATTTAGAATAATGATATGTCCTTCAGTTTAATCTTATTCACACAAAAATGTACAAAATACCGTATATACTCAAAAAGCTCTCAGGAAAAATGGATCTTTCACCAGAAAGACCATGGTATTAATGAGGTTACTCTCAATGATCTAATCAAGGGGTTGACAGATCCTCAAGAGGAAGTGGGAGATACATTGTATTTCCTCGTTGACATGCACATCACTGGGGATGTGTCCAAATGACTGTCTAGTCAGGGAGCATTCTCAGGGCTTGCTCATATATACAGAACCCATGTATTCTAATCTATGGAATCCTTTAAGAAAGTTCCCCAATCTCCTGTAAGTTGCTTGTGACTACAGAAGTCTTTGCCCAATCTCCTTCCTCAGAACCTGCTCATTTGTTCTCAAGGCTGCCTTGTAAAATAGCCAAAAGGTGATTATGATAGTACTACAGAAGGACAAAGTTAACATACTGTGTTTAAACACATTCCCAAGGTTATACAGCCCAGTGCAAATGTGAAGATGGAGAACTGAGTCTTGTTTTTAAGAATTGATGGGCAGAACTGAAGCAGGGGTCAGTCTACGGCTAGTTACTCCCCACTCCTGAGGTGAGAGTGTTCTGAGTACGCTGAACAAAGTGGGAACAGGTGCTACTCCCAGGCCTGTGTGAGCACCAGACACCATTATCTCTAATCCCTGTGGGTGTTTCTTTTCCCAGACTCAAATAGTTTCTTCATGTGCATGGGCTAATCAATACTGAACTGAATACTCCAGGGGTCCCTCTGAAGATCCCAGGGTTCTCTGCCTTCTAGTGCTTTGTCCTGAGAACTCTAGTCCCCAGGCCTTGGTCTCCCTCAGATTCTCAGCTCTGTCTCCCCAACTCAGGGCCTCTGCAGGGATCCTCCTAAGTTCCCTTTCCTGCACTGTGACCTGGAGATTCTCTCAGGCAGTAAGTTGGGACAATTGTAGAGCTTGCCTCATTTGTTGACCATATTTCAGGGATCACTGTCCTTCATTGTCTAATGTTCAATGTCTTCATATTTCATCAGTTTTTTTTGTTTTGTTTTTTTGGTTGTTTCAGGTGGGAAGTTAAATCCAGTCCCTGTAACTCTTTCTTGCCCAGAAGCTCACGGTGGCTTTTTTGTTTCAATTTTCTAAGTGGTTACAGCAGGGCGTAGACAACTGCCTTAAGCTTCCTGTGCAACGTTGCGATGGCCACCTCAAGTGTCCTCCCTGCCCCTGCAGCCTCTAAGGATGCAGCAGGATGGGAGCTCAGTTGTGGGAAATAACAGACACAGATGGGGTTGCAAAGAGGCTATGGAGTCTGGATTTTATTTTGTACGTGATGGGATACATCTGAGGATGCGTGATGTTGGGAAAAGATAATGCAACCTGCTTTCACAAATGACTGAGAGAGATACCTTTTGCAGGGTCTAGCACAGGACCTGGGATGTAGCTGGTGGTCAGTAAACATCTGTTGAAGTGAGAGACTGGAGACATGGGGGTGACCAGTTAGATGCTGCTGCAGAGGGTTAAACCAGAGCACATGGAGGAAGCATGGAGATCGGGAGTCTGAGAGTGACTTTGAAGCTGAAACCAGCAGGGCACAGCCATTGATTGGGGGCAGACTGGGATGAGGGAGAAGAATTGGTAGGAGATGATTCTGAGGGATAAATGGTGAGTAGGAGCATAACATGCCAGCAGCTGTGCCAGGGGGATGTGGAGAGGAGCAGTCTTAAAAGGAGAATAACCAATGTGTCTGGGACATGTAGAAGCTGAGTTGCCAGGGGCCTGTCCCACAGAGAGGCTAGTGATTGGTTGGAAATGTGGGCATGCACGATGGAGGTCAGCACCGGAAGTGTGAATTGGGAGCTATCCCCATGGGATCTAGAGGTGCCTTCAGCTGTGGACACTCTCGATGTATCTGATGGCCCTGGGTTCCCTCATTCCCATCTCCAGACCCACCAGACTTCAGAGGACCAGCGTCCTCCAGACTCCCTAGAGAAGAGGGCATTTCTTGGATGAATTTACTGTTCTCATCTTAAAGATACACCAGAGAGTAACCTGAGATAGTATGTAGAATCTTCATTATATATTTTATATCTCTCAGGGGACAATTCAAAATTAGAACTAAAATAGAGACATCTGTCAATGTACTGTAACTAAAATTATAAACAATACCATTACTTTGTCCTCAATCCAGAAATTTCATCTTTACTGATCACATATTCCATTGACATTGAAATGAATGCCCTTAATTTTTTATACACTCTCATTTGCAACCGAATAAAACTATTCACACACACAAAATAAACATAAATCATAACCTTTTGTTTGAATATGCATCATGAGGCAAATACTGCTTTATGTCTCATGGAGTGTATTCATTTGAAACACACGCCAAAAAGACTTCTTTTCTTTTTTCTTCTTCCAGCTGTTTAAATGCTTAGCTTTTTTCTAGATAACTGCATACCACCTGGAATTGCATTTATGTGTTTCTTCAAAATTCTCTTTCTGGCTTAAATAATGCCTTTACCTCTGCCCTTTGACAGCTTTATCAGAGAGTCCTCTGCAAGCACTAAAATCCATGTTCTGTAAAATCTCTTTATAGGCTCATTCAAAATGGAGAGTGTGAAAACAAGGCAGGTCTTTCACTGTGGATACTGAGTTTTGCTGCTGGCCATTTTGCATACTTACTCTAGTAAAATTAAGGAAATCATGTACATAACAAATCACATATAAAACAAAAACAAGAGGAGATACTTAGGTAAACCTACAAATGATGAATTCTTTTAAAATTCTCTCCAATCCAAGTAAATTCTGAATATTAATAACACAATTAACAGAGAAAGGTGACAGCCATGAGAAACACATTACACATTAAGAAACATTAAAAATTCAGGACTTTGATTCCTTTGGTTGCTGGAAATATTGTTGTCCAGAAGACAAACGGTCTTATGTTCATTTCT